GTTCCCTGAGTAATACTTCAATGAAAACAACAATGAAAGCTTGTCACGCAAGTAGAAGAGGCACTGTTGGGCACTTTCTGAAATATTTCAATAGTATAATTTCCTTGCAAACCCAAATAAATAAATCTATCTGCGTAAACAAATGAGAGTGATTTGCGGCAAAACCTGCCAGTATCGCACCCAAAGTCAGTGCCTATACGTAAGCGTACTACGACGCGGCTCTCAAACAAAGGAGTAACAAGTGTGATACTATCACTGCTGGACTAGATCTTTGGTTTTCTCATGTAGTGGTTCATCAGAGAGGGGAAGCTTAGTAATCCCCATTGCATGCCCATGGCGCTATTCTATTGCGGCATGAGCCAGCAACGCCGGCCATAAACCTACCGTCTCCAACACTCCACTATAAAGCATGAAATTAAGCCCACTTACCAGCAACAAGGTGCAAAAACTAGCCAAGGGGAGGGAAGTGCGATTGCTTTATAGAATAATATCAATACTAAACATTCAGGAAAACTAATACCTTATCCAACATGTTTTTAACATCAGCAATACATACATAATTCCAAAGAAATCGGGGGGAAAAACTTCAGTGAAGTCTAATGTGAATTTTAAGATAGTTCCTAGTAAAATTCCAGGGCAATTCTGGAGGGCAAATTAGGTGGAGTATTTCTATGCATTTTCTAGCAAAATGTCAAGGCAACTCAAACGAGAATACTATTAGAATTCAGTGGAGAATTTGAGCAAGAATTCCTGAGTTAATTACAATATTGGTAGAAAGTTTTTAACGAATTTTAGAAAGAAATTTGAACGAAGTTTTTCGTTTCAAATTTCTAACCAATATTAGAAATCAAACAAAAGGTATACTACAATAGATCAAATTACTGGTCGTGGATTTATATCCTGAACAGAGAAAACAAAAAGTTACCTGTCAGTGGCGTGTGTTAGTTACCTGTACACCAACTCTCAAGGTGGAATTTCCTACAGTGGGGCAAAAGTTCGAGTCGTGTCCCAAACCCATGTAATCATTGATAAATCCCTAAAACGCATTGCTCTAAACAGCTGTAAATGGATCAGAATGTGACAAAAGCCTCGAAAAAGTTGAGACACTAATGTATTTATTGTGGAAAACTACTATTTTCGAGTGTTTTCTTTATGTCCTTCACACCATCATGGGGCATTTGAAGATTTATAGTGGCCAAAATTCTCAAGAACTGCCATTACATTTTAGCCCTATTGCTGAATCCAATTTTTGCCCACCGATGAGGAAAAAGTTCGTTTTGAACACGCTTCCGAAAAAAATCGTTCTAGCTACGAATGAACTGCAAATTCATTAAAGCTTTGTAAGAGAAAGTTGGGAATTTTGAATTATGGATCAAGTTTATGGAATTAATTTGATTCCAAATGCTTGCAGTTTTGAGATATATTTTTTTATTTCAACAAAGCAAGATAGAGCTGGAATTAGGGCGTAACAGCATTTGTAAACAATGACTTCTTTCGGTGATGCCTTGAAAGTTAAGACTCGCCCACACTAATCAACATAACCATCAGGTAGGGTAAGACTTCCCCTACCCGACGGTAATGTTGGTTTGCGTGTGCGTGCATTGAATTCCTAGAAATCATCGAGAGAAGCCATTGTTTACAAAAGCTGTTACGCCCTTATTCCAGCTCTGTCTAGAAAGGTCAACCTTTTGCCCCACTTTACTCTGCATACCGAACCACATATAAACTACAATAAAAGTAATTTGGAAATTTGACTCTTCAAATGATGTACTTAGATACTTGGACAGAATTTCAAAGCTAGATTTTAGTGTTTTTTTTTCTAAGCATTACGGGAAACTTATGAAAATGTTGGTGTTGAAATACACAGAGGAACATAGAGAACTAACCTATTGTTCTGTTCCCATGGAAAAGACAAAATATGAGTCTCACATGACATGAGTCTAAAATTGATAAACAGCACATTTTCAGCGATGGGCCCAATCTTAGATCCATAGGCCAACATTAGAGCCATTTCCCCTATGTGATGTAATGAATGGTTTATATAATAAAGTATAATTGAAGGATCTCATCAAATGCCTCCAATGTTCCCCAAATGCCTAATTTATAGATAAAAATGGAATGATCTCACTAAAACTGGTCTGCTTGACTGTGATCATCAACTTTTCCGGACTTCTCTATTCCACGATTTTCTCCAGAAGCTTTAGCCTTTAGCTTTTGTCTGTTGTCCTCCGCCAAACGCTTTATCTTCATCACACAGCTTGCAGCGAACACCGTACACGGATCTTCGTTCTCTTCTGTTTTCTTCTTACCGAGTTTACCAATCAGCACTAACTGTAGTTCAACCACCTCTTTTCATTTGATTCAAAAAATCACTTCGTGGCTTGCAAAATGACCCGAAGGATCAATGAATTTGTCATCGTAACGATGTTTTTCGCAAATCACACTTTTTACACCGGCCAGAAGGAAAATGTTCGTTTGAATTTTATGCAAAAGATTGACAGCCCAAGAAATCCGAACTGTCCACTAGCAGAGCCTACTTCGATATCCAACATAAGCAGCTCTTATTATGAGAAAAGTCCGATGAACTTCGAGATTAGGGCGTAATTGCTTTTGTAAACAAACACGTCATTTGCCGATTCCTCGCGAATTAAAGCTCAATCTCAAAAACTAACAACACATACAGGTAGAGGAATGATTCCTTTATCATTTGGTATAGTTTGTTCGCTAGATTGTTCTTTTATTCACGAGATATCGGCGATTGGCGTGTTTGTTTACAAAAGTAATTAAGCCCAAATCTCAAAGTTCTCCGGAAGTGTCGGAAGCAAACCCGAGCAAAGTCGGTTAACAAAATGAAAGCAAATCGATATTAAAGATTGCAGTTCCTATCATAATGAATACTCATTTTGATTTCAATTGTCACGACATTAGTCTGATATCATATTGTGCTTTCATTATGCAGTCAAGACATTTTAAATGAAAGCAACTTAACTTGAAGTTCTGCTGTTAACGTCTTGTTTAAGATTTAAGTTAAGCTTATCTGTCGTTGAACTAACGATTATTGTTTAATTGTTTTGTGTTAATTTTAGGTCATTCGCAACCAACCCGAGGTGACATTTGAGCTCAAGTCTTTCAGCGTGAGAAGCTTGGATGCTAACCATTTACACCAGGCCCGTATTCAGTCAAACATTATGAATGCAAAATCAGTAATCAAATTGATTTCATTGAAAGCAGGATTAGTTTTCCGTTTGCTTCAACAGTGTAAAATTTTGCTCTCATTTTTGATGTGTTAACCGTTAAGTCAACCAAAATGAGATCAAATGGAGTATTCAAAGTAAGTTACATCATAACAGCAAATTCTGATTTCAATTTGATCTCTAACTTTGCTCGGGAAGGCAGCCCATTATCACAGAAAATGCGTCGACTACGGTGACCGCTCACAACAATGATTATGTTTTAAACAGTTTTTTTATCACCTTTTCGTGGTGCTTTAATGGTATAAGATCTACTACCGAAGCCTAGTCCTGACAACTTCAAACTAGGGGAACATGATTTTTCAGTAATCAACACTTATTACTTTTTATGCCTTGTTAATAGCGACAAGACTCGGGTTGCTGCACCGAGGCTGACCATGAAACAAGGGAAAAAAGGGGTTAGCTAGCCATCATCTATGTGATTCCTAATCTTCTATTCGTTGTTCTCTAGTTTGAAGTGGTTGAGACTAGGGTCCACACGCATGATGTGTCATTTCTTGATTTTGTTCCTAAGGAATCCGATTTTGACTGATAAAGGGGTGCGTTTTTCGAGAGTGCTCTAGCTCTTCGAAGTGTATAAATAGAATCGGTTTCTCACGATGAAGACAAGAATGACAACTGTATCAAAACCGAATACTTCATCATTTCCCGATAGTGATGGAGTAACACGACTAAACTAAGAACACGGAATGTACTACAATAGATCAAAAAACATGTAGGGCGGCGCCACCGGGATGTTCTGAGGCATAACATCTCTGATCACGCCTTTCTTCGGAAGGGTGGTAAAAACGTTGGGCCCCGGTTCATAGTTGATGGGTCGATAGATAGGGTCCAGGTGTGGGAGCTGCCTTCCTGGGGTCGGTAGCATCGGTGCTCAGCATGGAAAACAAGAACGACGAAAAACAAATCAAGGAAAAAAATACAATAGATTAAATTACTGATTGACGATAAAAAAATGTACCAATTATTGATAAATGAACACTTCAACTTAATTTATATGCACAGGAAATTAAGTTTAAAGCTCAAATATGGAATCGAAGTTGATCATTGATCTCTGCATGTTAAAAGATCAGCATCTCAAAAACCTGATGTGCTACAACAATTATTACGATTAGTTTCACATTTAGAAACCCGTAATTTTATAAAGATACAAATCCTAGTTGAGTCATGTTTCCGCATCTGAAATATTATTCACGTCAAAATTACCCACAATGTTTTTGAGTAAACTCGTCTTTAATACTACTACAGAGTGCTAAAAAGGATTGTAACTGACAGTCACACAAATTGCACACCAAGCTAACAGGTTATCATTTCGATAGAAATGCTCGCGATCTGAAGGCTACACCACCACCACCATCCTCCACTAATAAACACGTAACCTGTCGGAAGCAATTTATTGATCGTCCATCGCTAGTCAAGCAGTTCAACTTTGATAAGCGGCAAGGTCATCTGGCAGTTCAAAAGTCAGAAACACAAATAAAAACAGAAAAATAAACCTACTGCTCTATCAAAATAATTCACATGACCTGAATTGGTCCGCCCGTGTCCGTCCGCAGTGCCATTTCCTCGGACACATTGCTCTATTCACACTCTAGTTAATTATTAACGGCACACTCACACACCGGGGCGGGGGAGTTTAAAAGAATGTTCCGCCAGCTCGCACATTCTCACCCTTGTCCTTGCCTTCTTTCTTTGTAGCAACAACAACAACAGCAGTAGCAGCAACAACAACAACAACAACAACAACAGCAGCACCAGCAGCAGCAGTAGACAACAAGTTGGCTCGCATGCGCAAAAGTTGGACCTAGATCAGCGTCCTAATTTATCACCGAGCAAATCCTATGGCAACGGCGGTGGCAATAACAATGGCTACAACAGTAACAGACGATTCTTTGGCGCGGAAACAGTTGAAACACCTCTTCGGTCACGCTATCACGTTGAACGGGAGGATGGATCTGCAGCTGCAGGAGGTGGCATCAATCAGGAAAGCTATATCATTCATCGCGATGAGCAGTACGATAGCGAGAATGATGAAAAGTCGAGCAATGATTCGTCTTCTACACGAATCATCTCCAACAGTACGTTCAATTTTGGAAGTAAGGGAAGTGATCCGTATCCACCCACTCCGAACGTTAGCCATCCACCTTCAATACTATCTTCGCGGCCACAATCGGTTACCTCCCACAAATCGATCGGATCAGGGATCTTGAAAAATGACGGAAGGCTATCCAGGACTAGTAATATCTCATACAGCAATCTGTCAATTAAGCAGACGACTGACAATGCGTCTGTCAAATCGAATCGTTCTGCTAAGAGCAGGGAAAATACCGTTTGGTATGAAAGAGATGGAACTCCGATCCGAAGCGAAGACGTTATAAGTTCAAATCAAGTCACCTATGAATCTGACTACGATGAAGAGGTTGAAGAGGAAATCGTACAGCCACAGCGTTCGGCAACTCCGAAGCGATATCCCACTCCAAGTCCGCATCCCCTTCAGTCATCCTATTCAACCGAGGAACTATCCATCAATAGTTATCAGGTAGAGGAAACCGTAATTGCACAACCGAAAAGTCGTGTTCAATCTGCCAGTCTCGGTAACCTTCAACAGTTACAGGACGACGAAGAAGAACCTCCACAACCTGCTCCCGCCAAGAAAATCCTTAAAAAGCCTTTCCTTGTTCGTAAGAGCAGTAAAGTCGCACCGGTCAAGGAAGTGGTCAGTGGAATCAAGTCCAAAAATAAGATGAATGAAGTCATTTTTCAGAAAAATTTGCGGAAGTTCGACAAACCGAAAGAAGCTCTCTCACACTGCCTAGTACACTTAGAGAGTCCCAACTGGGAACAAAACATCAGTGGCCTACAGTTCTTTGTTCGCCTGATCCGGCATCATCCAGAGGTTATCGACAGTCAAATTCATCTTCTGTCGGTGGCTCTTGCCAAGCAAGTACGTAATCTTCGATCTCAGGTCGCACGGGCAGCTTGCCAAGCTTCGGCTGAGTTCTTCTCCACCCATCGACGCTGTTTAGAGGGTGAAGCGGAAGACATCGCTACCCATCTGCTTCATCGCACAGCCGATACGAACAAGTTCCTTCGAGCCGATGCCACTCACGCGTTGGAATCAATGTGTGAGAACCTCTCAATCGTAAAAGTCATTCACATCATCTCATCTAAGGGAGCAGCTCATCAAAATGCCGTAGTACGAACGACTGCTGCCAAGCTACTCGATAAGATTGTCCATCAAATTGGTGCGGAAAAGGCATTTGCACTACCCAAAGAATCTCGCGAAAAACTGGTCCACACCGGAGGGCAATTGCTGCTCGAAGGGTCACTCGATACGCGTAACTACACGAAGAGTATGTTCAAGCAGCTATCCGAACATCCCAGCTACAACAAAGTATTACTGGAAGTTATTCCACCACGCACCTATCGAAACATTGAGAAATCGCTGAATAGTATCACACAGATGTAAATGCCGCTGCGTATGCGGTGTGGAATCGCTAACTACCAGTGGAAGCAGCCTTGATGAATAATGCATTTGTGTTATTGGTTTATCTTACATCCCGTACGTCGTAGCGAAATTAGTTGAAATCTTTGTAATGCAACTGTAAAATGGTAACACTATATGAAATTTACTATGAAAATAAATGTTATTTAAACTAGGCGTTGCAGTTATTGGGAATTACAATGTTATTGAGAAACAAAAAATATCTCGACTCAAGGTAAAATTTTAAGAAGAATGGCTTTCAGTACATCTTCAGAAATTTCTACGATAGAATTCAAGTTCTAAGGTTGCTAAAAGCTTCCAATTGAACAAAAAAAAACAATAGCGTAAAGTGTCATATGTTGCGGGAAATTATGGTACTTTTGGGTATGTAAACATTCATGAAAAAAATAAAGATTCAAAATCCAAGAAATTATGGTTCTTTCTGGATATTTGCACAAGGAACTAGCGAAGAAGTCAATTTTTAAAATGTATTTCGTACTAATAACGACTGACTAGACAATTGGATGAAAAGCTGTTTAAAACGACTTTAAGAAGACCACCTGGCTTCAAACCAATGCACTATGCTGTATTTAGGTTGATTAAATGTTTTTTTTACTGTCGTACAAAGTTCTCAGAATGTTATGAAATTTTGCCCACAAGTAGATTGTATGGTTAAACGAACAAAAAAAATATATACAAATTACAGGTTGATTTTTCTAGAAAATTTTAGATGAAGTTTTCGGATTTTCCACGTAATTTGAAAATGCATAACTCATAAACATTATAAAAAGAACGTTGTAGTGAAATGATAAGGAAATTACCCAAGTAACCATCAATCCCACTAATGTAAAAACTGCAATATAATGCTGATGTAAGGCTGATATAAAAATTTAAAACTGTATATCAGCCTTATATTGCAAAAAGGGTCCCAATCCGGCTATTAACGGGCTTGGGAGTTACTTGGATATCTCAAGAATCCTTAAAAATGTAATCTGAAAAATGTTCTCCCCAAAAATAAGGAAAACCCATTGTCAGAAATGAAAAAAATTAAATTAAAATGTTTCTAATAATGCAGTTCATGCCTGAAAACTTTTAATCTTTCACTGCTGCAAATTTCACAGTGGTGTCTCTTAACTGTTTTTGAAACATAACCGTGAAGATCAGAAATTTTCAAGTAAGAGAAAAGCTATGGAAAAAAAGTTGGAAGGGTTGTATACTAGATACGACCGCAGGGTTGGCGTTGGATAACGTCTGTTATGTGTTGTACTTAATTGTGTATATTATATTTTAGGAATATTCCTTAATAACTCTTTTGCGAAAGTTTGGTGGCCCTGAAAAGGGCCGTTTTGTTGGGCTGATGTTGTTGACAATGATGGAACGGGCGACCTTGTTGGACGCTTATATAGTAGAACAGAAAATATCAGAGGTGTCAGATACTCGCATCTGATGTATTGGTTGGAGAAAGTATAAGAATATAAAAAAATCAATCGATTTTCACCATCTTTAGACAATGGTTTACTTTTAACCATTTTTCAATAGTTTACAGAATGAAATCAATAGTTTTGAAACATTCTGCAAATTGCTAGAAATATATCCAATCGATTGATGCCATTCAAAATCTTTTAATTTTTCGAAACGCATCCAAAATGACTGTTTTCAATTTTGTACCCCCGTATGTTGCCGAAAGACGTTATCCAACGTCAAAAATCATCATTCGGAAAACTATTTCAGAATATCGCACTACAGCCCGGTGAAAATGGTTCACAATAATGAACCGATTGGAACGAGGCGAAGAGACGCACATCGGGCAGGGTGGATCGACCAGATGGAAGGCGACCTGCGAAGCCTTCGCAGACTGCGATGCTGGCGACGTGCAACCATGGATCGAGAGGATCTGAAGGGAGGCATAACGACTTGAGAGCGGTACATTTGATAGAACTGTTTCAACACATCGTAGGTACATGAGCAAAATGGTGATCATCTTGTTTTGCCGGTTGTGGCGGGGGTGAGGGGGAGTTTGGTAAAGCGAAATGATCAACCCGATTCGTATTCGATTCCTCATCTATCGCTATCGTCTAAAATGACCACTTTAAGTCTGTTATTTGAAACTTAGCATCTTCAACTATGAGGCTGGCGCATAATGTATAAGTTTCTGGGTTTTTTGACAGATAATGCATGGGCTTACTGTCAAAAAACCTGAAAACTTATCCATTGTGCGCCCACCTTATGAGTGTTTGCCTGTAGGTAGCGTAACCGGAGTAGTGTCTGGTAGCTTTAAAATCTCATTTTGCTTGCATTTGTTGCAACTACCTATTCAAAAAGTACTCCAGTAATAGCTAATCGCACTTTAATTTCAGTGCAAGTTCAATTGAGTATAATTTCGAGTATCGTTGAGTGATTTTTTATCAGTGTGTAAAACAAGAAATGTCACTTTGCCGACTGCACACTGATTGTTTTGATTTAGATCGGCCGAATGTTCACCTAAAATTCTACAATAAACACATTCAATTACCTTTAAATTTTCTATTCGACTATACTCATGGCTCAAGCATTCACTGGTCACGGTCAACCTGAGAACACTATCGGTGTCAACCAAGGTGGTCCGCATGGTTTGGGTAAGTAAAGTTCCATAAATTCTCAAACCGCAAACTTACATAAGTTTCATCATCCCATTAAAACAGGCGATCCCAACGACAGACGTCTCCGGAAGGTCGAACGGGAAGTCCTCGTCCCGAAGATAATGCGAGAACGAGCCAAGGTAGAGAAATGCATACCTGAGGTGCAGGATTTTGAAACCTGTTGCAAAGATGCGGGCCTCCTGATGGCAATGAAGTGTCAGAAACAGAACAGTGCACTCATGGCGTGCTCCCTCAAATGGTATAACGATGAACAGTTCAAATCCGAATGCACGGAAATCTACCTTGCAGAGCGCAGCGAATACAGGCGAACTGGACTGCCCAAGAAGTTTCGGAACATGAACTTAGACCAGCCGTCCCAGTAGGGTACGAACTGCGGAGCGACATTTCTTATTGTTTGTAAAAATTGTTCACAGTTGAATAGAATAGTTTTAAACTACTTACTACTAGATGTGCTTTGCTGATGACTATTCCGGTAAGCTGCATAGTTATGATGCTTCGGGAAGACTTCACTCACTCTGAACTCATTCAGACGATTAACACCGGCCACACAATCACTTGGATCAATATCAGTAGGATAATAAACTTCTAACACTAGTAAATCTTTGGCAGTAGTTTCCGCGATACGATTGAAACACTGGAAATCATAATTATCCATATAGTGATTGCCTCCTGGCTGTTGGGCACAGTTCTGATACGGTTGTATGAGGACAACATAGGACGCATGGAAGAATTGTGGTCCTTTCTGGTAGAGAACTGTGAATAGAAAAAGCATTTAATTAAAAATAGAATTGATGATGACCTATTCGCAACTTACGGAAATCTCCACCAAATTTGAGCCCACTCTTAATAACCCAGTTTTTGGATTTCAGGTAGACATAAGCAACGTAAGACACAAGAAAATTTCTCTTCAATTTTGAGAATGTCTCTAATAAAAGTATTTCAGGCATGGTAGCGCCTTCCAACGTCCGTACTTCTAGGCATTTCAATTCTCTGACCAGGAACATAGATTCTTCGAAAAATAGACTTAAGTTTTCCGGAATAGGAAATGGGTCCACTTCTTTTCCCACCAATGCATACTTCAACTGCCTCTGACCTATAGCACCATCCGCTAACTGCTTTTCCACGTCCTCTTCCATCACACGAACATTCACGCAATTACTTCCTCCAACTTGACCGTACTTACGACGCCACTCTTCCCGTCTATCTAGTTGCCGCCGCCTAACAACTAGCTCGTTGCTTCTCTGAGCTCCACGATCACGTACTGAAGCCGGAAAGGACCGCGATAGTGTTCCCTGACCAAAGCACCCACCGAGCGCGAGTTTTTGTATCCCGACCGAATCACAAACTTCCACCGTTAGACCGGTAAAAATCGCAACGAACCGTTTGTTCGGTGCGGTTTCTCGCGAATCCACCGGCAGTGGATCGATGTCCGCGAGGTTTGGTGGGGTAAATTTCTTCGCTTTCGCGATCGGACGCCGCAGGTGACGTTTCATTTTGTGAACATTAATACTCACAACACGCTATTTCACGACCACTAATTTCACGGAGATTGACGAATTATCGGCAACGGAAAAACACGCAGAAGCAGAGATGAGAAACGAACGCGAACGCGGGTGAAAACGAGACAACAAAATAATATTTTTATTTATATTTAACTAATGAAAGGTGCGTTTAGTACCTTTGAAAACATTGATTACTTAAATGTAACGCGTGGGTCGGAAGGCACTAAGCCAAATTCAAAGATTGTTTTTATATGCCCCACACATGAATTTCGCAATGTGATCAACAAAATTTGATATCTCTAGATAGAGCTGGAATTAGAGCGTAACAGCTTTTGTAAACAATGACTAATCTCATTGATTTCTTAAGGCTGGTGCACAATGTATAAGTTTCCGGGTTTTTTTTTTTCATGGGCTAACTGTCAAAAAACCTGAAAACTTATCCATTGTGCGCCGGCCTTTAGGAATTCATGGAACGCCTACACAAACCAACATATCCATGGGGTACGGGAAGTCTTCCCCTACTCGATGGTGATGTCGATTTGCCAGGGCGAGCCATGACTTTCGAGAAATCATCGAGAGAAGTCATTGTTTACAAAAACTGTTACGTTCTAATTCCAGCTCTATCTAGATCTATGTGTCGGACAAATACTTAATACAGTAATGACCCGATTTTGTCAGCCTCCTTTTTTGAAAACATTTTCTATTGTTCTACGAAACTCATGCGCTTTTCGAGTTGTCTTATTGCACCAAAGCATACCTTAAACATCCATCTTGAAGATGAATGATAAAGATTTGAAATGAAATTATTGAAAAATTAAAGTCTGATGCGTGGAGGGGCTGACAAAATCGGGTTATTACTGTATGTGTACATATAAAAGCCGTATGTGACCACACCTCGGATCACAAATACTATTTATTTGACACATCAATTTCAGGTGGAGTGGATTTTGGTTGTGTGTGGTCACATGAAAATCATGGAAAAAATATGTAATTTTGTTTAAAAAATCGATGTACATCGTACAGCGTAATATAACACAACCAGCAAAATGAGCTCTGTGCAATTTTTTGGATGTAATATTCAACAGCTTTTTTTTTTTTTTGTGCAATATAAAAATACCATATATACGTATACTATATCGTTTACGATAAACCAAATGATAGAGCGGAGATAAACTAGCAAAAAATCTCCATACACTGGAACAAAGACCTCGGAGGCGAACCAGCCTAAGGCTGAAAGCCTCCTAAATAAAGCTAAATTAATTAATTAATTGGAACAAAGACCATAGTTAGGAATACTACTTGCGAAAACACTTGTTATCAATATAACCACGCTTATTACTGTTAAATCTTCTATGAATTCAGTATAGTTGACTATGAATGTTAACAAATTTACTATGATTCTGGAAAAACTACGATGCATGCTAAAAATGCATGGTAGAAATAATAGTAAAATTAAATGATGTTGTTTGCTGCAAAAATCTATTGGTAAGAGTATTTAATTTAAACCAGCAATATAGTATTTTTGCAAATGGATCAGTGTAATAAATATTAAAAAAAAAAAAAAAAACAAATGATAGAACTATTGGTTTGGATGATACCCTGAACAAGTCGATTGCCAAGTCCCGTCCCGGGTTTTGAGCACCGCTATAGTAACGTATGATAACGGCTGCCACTTTGACATTTTTGTTTTGTTTTGATATTGTTCTTTTTTTCGCAGCGTAACGCAAAACTGTCACTGCAATCTTCCTGCTGCAGTCAGATTGTGACGAAAAAATTCGATCAATCTGCATCATCGTCTGTATCTCATTAAAAAGTGATAATTTGGGGAAAAAAATCCGTAAAAAGTGCAGTTCTCGGGGTGCATTGCAAGTGTTTGCAACAGAACGAAATACTCGTTGATCGAAATACGACTACTAGATAAGAGATTTTCATCTCTCAAGTGGGCTTTGTTTTGATCCATCTTCACCATCATCATCAGGCGTTGCAAAGCAGCTGAATAACGACAACACCAGCAACAACAATACGAAAGCTGCGGCGGAACGGAAAGACAAAACGAGAGGCGTATCGCGAAAAGAGGCACACGCAGAGGACAACCGTACAGCGAGACGAAAAAGATGATGTGTCAAAGTGAAAGAGCTGCTCGCGAGATAGGGAAGCTTTCTTCTTCGATGGAGCAATAAAAACAAGGCCCATTTTTCGTAGTTCCGGAGCATTTAGTTGGTTCCTGGAACTGCGATCCGTGTCGATCTTTTGTGGGTGTGTTATTTCGCAGACGAACGGATTACTCACGATAGGAATAGAGGTGGAAGGATCAAAACGAAAGTGCTATTAAATGACGATTAAATGAGATCCTCTGTAAGCTACATGTTATCGCAAGGACCAGGAGATCCGATAATGGCGCATCCCGATTACGAGCAGCATCACTACCACCACGGCTGTCTGCTAATACTGGTGCGTGGAATCGGTCCCCTGAAGCCTCGATCGCTGCAGCGGGTATTCGAGCGGATCCAGCGGATCAACAACGTCAAGATACCGGGTAAGTGTGCGAGGTGTGCTTGGTGGGATCGACTGCAGATTACCATCAAGGTTGCTTCTATCTTTCCCCAGATTCATCCGGCCTAACTAGAGACATTTGGGTCCGCTACATTCGAGATCATCCAGTGGAGAATAACGACTGGGGTGATTTCCAAACCCATCGGAGGCTGCTGGGGCTGATCACGGTGGGGAAGTTTGATAACCAAAATGAGCTGAATGAGCTGTGCAGGGTTCACGAGTCCCTCAAGGTCAAATACACCAATACATTGTTCGATTCGCGATGTTTGTTGTTTGGACCGAGCATTGAAGAGTTGCACAAGATCGCAAGTGGGCTGGAGGAGAAGAAAGATGCCACCATCGAGAACTGCTTCCAGACGCCGTCCAATTTCAAAAGTCGAGCTTTTTTCTATCCGGAAAACGACTCGTGCTCGAATCTGGAGACAAAGATTTCAGAATTTATTACCTCTCTGTATTATATTTTGGAGCTGAAGCGTCTGGAGAAGACCCGGGAGAAGATTGACAAAGTGCCCCTGCTGTTGGCACCGTTTGAAAAGAAAGATTTCGTTGGACTAGATTTGGAGAGTCGAAACAACAAGAAGCGCTGCATCGGTCGGATGACAAAGCATCTGGGAGATCTAACGCTACAAGCTGGCCTAGTGGCCGAATCACTGAATCTGTTTCACTCGGCTAGTGAAACCCTACGTGCCATAAGTGATTCGCTTTGGTTAGGAGCTGCCTTCGAGGGTCTCTGTGCCGCTTCCGCTGTCCTATTGTACCCCAACTTTCGCTACACCATGTCGATTCAACGAAACTCTAGTCTACAGGAAAACACTTCCTCCCCTCAGAAATACAATCTTGCCCGAAATCAACTGCTGACCAATTGCTACAACGGTGAAACCAATAATGGAGGTAATCTGAAGCAGAAGAAATCCAATATGGTGATTAATCTCAACTCGGAAACTGCCTCGATCCCGGACAAAACATCGGCCTCATCAAATTCGTCGGCTTCGTCGATCAGTTCAACGTTTTCCTCAGGTTCGGGCGGAAGCACTGCCAGTGGAAGCTCGTCCTCTTTAACCGACTCCGGAACACTGGTGAACAAGTCGACTGTAGCTCAAAAATTCCCGTCAAACATCCTCCAACCGGACGAAATCCCTGCTCGGTATCGGGAAGCCATTATAAACTACAGTAAATACCGAAATGCTGGTATAATTGAGACGGAAGCTGCTCTTAAAGCAGCTCGGATTTGCATCGAACAAGGCAAAAACCTGGACGTGGCTATGTTTCTCCAGAATGTCCTCTACATCAATCTGAACATGAGCGAACAGCAGCGCGTTCGGAGGTTCGAAGTGCTCACCGATCTGTACCAGAAGATAGGATACAATCGGAAAGCAGCCTTTTGCCAAAGGCTAGCAGCGTGGCGCCATGTAGCTGTTAGTAACTCAAATCCCGATTGGGGTCAAAGCTATCGCCTGATGTTGGAGAGCTTCCCGGGGCATAAGCTTTCGCTCGAACCGCATGAGGTCCTAGAGAACAATACGGGTTGGCCGGTGCTGCAGATAGACCTGCTCCAACAAATGGTCGGAACAGCACGACGGTTAGGACAATCCGCTCTAGCCACGAGACATATGACATTTCTGCTACAGACCATGTGGAAGCATTTGACGTCGCACGAGCAAAAGGAAATGGCACTTCAGCTGCAGAATCTGAGTGCACAGTGCGAAGGAGCACCGGTCCCATTGGTGTTGGAAAATGGCACGGTCATTCCGCCGTCAAATTTGACGGACTTGCCTCTGTGCAGTCAGGTTCTCGCTAAGGATTTGCCATCGCACTTGCGGCCGTTGAAGGTAAGTTGTGTGTTGTTATGTTGACTCATCGTGCATGTACTTACTTGTCGTTCTTCCAGATCGCCGTAGCAAAAGTAGATAGCGGTCCGTTTCTTTTCACACCGATTCACTTCAGCTCGATAGATCGTCGCCAGGCAAAGGACGACAGCAAGATATTGTTCAATTGGATTCAACACGACGTCTGCGAAGTGAACGTCAAACTAACCAATCCGCTACCGTTTGAGCTGCAAGTAACTGACATCCGCTTGCTAACCACGGGAGTCGTATTCGAAGCATTTCCTCAAACGGTAATGCTTCAACCGAACGTACTAACCACGGTAGCTCTGCATGGAACTCCGATCGAGAAAGGAGAACTTGACATTCAAGGATACAGCACACACACGATTGGTGTAAAGTCCAATTGTCGCCTAAAGAATATGCTGCACCGAAAGTTACGAAACTTGCCTTCGCACTATCAAGTGAATGTGATTCCTGCGCTTCCAAAGGTAGAGCTTAAGACAAGTCTCCCGCCGACGGCCACCTTCAGTGGAATGCCTAATGCGGACTGTGTGACCACATCTGCCAGCATTACGCTTTACAACGGCGAGCGGGGCGAATGCATCGTGACAATGACCAACACGAGTAACATACTGATAGAATATATTGATGCAATTTTCCATTCAAACATGGATGCGAATCTGCAGAATCGAATCTTTCAATTGGCGACGGATGACATCACTTCGAAGCTTCCGATCAAACCGAACGAGAGCATCGATTTCAAGCTGGTGATTTATGGTGAAGCGGATTTTCTAGGTGCGATTGCAGGTGTTCAACAGCTGTACTCGCATTCGTCCCACCAGGATGGTATGAACAGTGCAGGGCCTCAGAGTTTGACCGTATCGCATAGCGGAGGTGTCGTCGGAGGAACCATCAGTGGCAGTGGAAATCCAAGCATTCCAAGCCGGATCAGCTCACCAACAAACACTCACAGAAGGAATGATCCATTGACGTCTAGCTTTAGATCGTCCCACTCGGGGCACTCGTCGCTGGCTACGTTGAGCGTGGGAATTGCTACGGGCCATATGCCAAGGCAACTGGAAGCACAGTTAAGGTTCAAATATTCTGGAGGGGAAGGTTTACAGGAAGGCTACTGTCGGCAGTGTGCGATTTCGTTCAACGTGGAACTACTACCGAGTGCCCAGATTACAAATTGGGATGTCCTGTCGGCGGAAATGTGAGTATTTTGAAATCCTCTCATATTCGCGTATTACTACTATTAATTCTAAATCTACATCAATAGTCCGTCGCAGTTCTACCTAGTGCTGGATGTGGTCAACCTGACGGCTCAGGAAATGTCTCTAAACTACACATCAAACAAGACAATACTCATCGAGGCTAAGGAAAGCTGCCGCGTGCCGGTGCCGGTAGACCGTTGTCCACTCGATCGTATCCTAGCGGCGATGGAACAGCAGCTACATTCATTTAACAGTGCTTCAGCGGATGCCCATCCAAGTATGCTCAGCGGGGTGGGCGTGACCAGCGCAAGTGACGCAGGCGATCTGACGGAGCGCGTTTGTTCGGAACACATTGCGGAGAATGTGAACCTCAAGTGGTCCCTGCCGGGGTTGGACTGCAGCGGAGTGGCTTCTCTGCGAGGGATTTCGCTGTCGCCGACGATGCTGGATTTGGTAACGGTTCCGCCGTTACAATGGGGTAAGATAGAGATTAGTTTAGTGAACATTCTTTCTTTCCGATTGGTCGATTCGCATGATTTAAGTTTAGGTATTGTTCGTTGCTTATACAATTCGGGATTTGCTCGTTTCGCAGTTGGAAATTGAGCGTTTAGATAATGCATTTCTAGACCATTCTATGGGAGGAAATTGAACACTATGTGAAAGTCGGCAATGCAAACGACATACACTGCCGATACTCGCATAATTGTCCCATCTTTGCTTGATTTCCTATTCATATGGGACAGTTATGCTTTTATGGGCAGTACAGGTTGGCATTAAAATTAATAAGTTGTATTTGAAAACAGCACAAGTGTTCCCTTTGTTCTGATGCAGAAACATGTCGGGTACAGAATTGTCAAACTTCTTATTTTTTTTCGTGCAACAACAGCGGTCTATTAACTCTAATAGTATTGCAGAAGAAAAATTGCTATGCATCATACAGATGCTCAATTTCCTTGAAGCAGCATACCCTATTATAGTGAGGTTAAGAACGCTTCAAGTTTAAATCAGTTAGCAATATATGAATTTGCTGTGATTAATGTTTCTTTAAACGTAATATGATAGTGTACTGTATTTTTTTCCCTCTGTTCGGGACCAAACACTACTGCGACCAGTAAATTGATCTATTGTAGTATATCCCGTGTCCTTAGTTTAGTGCATGTCGTATTACTCCATCACTATTGAGAAATGATGAAGTATTCGATTTTTTACAGTTGCCACTCTTGCATTATCGCATATCATACCTATATTAAACAAACGGGGTGGGGGCGACCCCAGCGTAGTGGTTAACATCCTTACCTCTCACGCCAAAGCCACGAGTTAAAATCGCACCCCCGCACAAGTCACGAATGACCCAAGACCGTTAAAATGACTATAATAATAAAAAACGGGGTACATCATGTATAGAACCTCTGTTTCTAACGTTTCCCAGAACCTTGTTAAATGTTCAATTGATTTATAATGTAAAAGATAAAATTGATAAATAGCAGATTTTTAACGATGGGCCCAACCTTAGATCCATAGGCCAACATTAGAGCCATTTCGGTGTTAGCACCGACATGAAACTTAAACTTAACTTTTGCCCGAAAATCTGTAACAGCCGATTCAAATGTGTAGTGATCCAATCTGTTAAAACGATAAGATTTTTTATCTAGATAAAAATAATTTGTCCAGAATAGATCAGTCACGCACAATCAGCCACGTTTTCTTGGCTTAGCTGAACGTTTTCCGCGAACATGAAGACAGATGTCAGTAGTGTGCTCTGACAAAAATTTCATTGTAACTTATATCGAAGACATCATATCAAGAAGACTGGTAACTTTGCCAGAATCCAAGCGACAGATACGAAATGCGATCTTCCAACTTCCAATTTCCTTTATTCGGCCACCAATTGGTGGTGCGGAATAGCGAAACTTTTATCATCTGGAACTCATATCCTGCGAACCTTGGACTCGACATGTTATTCCGGTTATTCCGAGAGTCGAAGTGTCCCTAGTGAAGTGAGAAAAGTCATGTCGTGGTGACGTGTTTCTCCATATGATTTGCACAGACACTGTTCTCAATTCACTAGTGACAAAAGTCACTTCGACTCGCGGAATAACCCCGACTGTATCTATCTTCTATATGATGCGAGAAATGTGTCTATCTTGGCATTAAAAACAAGTGCTTCTTTTGCAATTGAAGGTGTGTCGATAATGTCCTTAAGCAAGAGTCAATTCACAGTGGCGCCGGTGGTGTAGTGGTAAGCGTGATTGTCTCTCACACCAAAAAGCCTGGGTTCAATTCCAGTCGGCGCCGCCGGGATTTTTCTTGAGGCATAAAATCTATGATCACGGAAGGGAAGTAAAGCCCGCGGGTCCATGAGTTGATGGGCCGATAGGTGGTAGGGTCCAGGTGTGTGGGAGCTGCCTTCAAGCCGTCGGTAGCATTGGTACTCAGTACGAAAAACAAATCAAGGAAAAAAGCAAAGAAGGACATTGGTACATAACAACAGCAAAGCATATGGTGATGTACTGGAGCTAACGGGGTGTTCAATAAAAAATGAGAATGATTTCAGTGCCGTCCAGCGCTCTTGTGAGAGCATCGCGACTAAGTTGCAAAGTACGGCTGACCAGGGCCCCTTCTCCAATATTCATTGACGTTTTTTAAAGAATAAACATTTTGTTTTGTATGTATGTAAGTAGCCACCATCCTAGCTTGGGTCTTGCCCTGCATGCAGCTCCACTCAACAGCAAGATCAAATTTCGTCATCATTCTGAATTCAACATACTGCTGTATGAAGGGCCAAAAGGGGTTGGGGCCCGTAAGCAGAGACACTTACGCGAAACCCACGGGAATAAGAGAATCTCCTTCCAACAATATGATCACAGGAGTGGAACTTCGGATCAGAAAGTGGCTCCACTTGTCATTTGCGAACACTAGCGCACCTAGCGGTAGAAGGCATCTTCTGCCTGCAGTTAAGATAGGCAGCATGCTATAATAGTGTGAGTGCACATAGAAAGCCCGTGTGGAACGCTACCACACACATCGCTTGTTGAGCAGAAAAACTAACCACGTTTTGATTCACCGATTTGTTTGCACTTCTCCTTCTGTTCTGTGATATGATCCAACAAAACGAATAACGAAATTCGCTTATTAAGCTTTCCACGGGATGGTTTGTTGAAGAAGAGCTCGACACGAATACTACAAATAATGGGATGTCGTGGTTCCTCTTCATTTTCGAAACCGTGTGTCAGTGGAAAATCGCAGGGACATACAGCTAGTGTGCTTTCGGGGATGGGATGCAGCTCTCATACGGTTTCTTCTTCACAGATGGTCTGACGCCTTTTGAAGAGGACAATCGAATTCTTGGCCATCGTCAGAAATTTTGACCGGATCAGCAACCAAATATAGATAAAAAAAATTCCACGGAAAAAAACGAACGTCAAGTTCATTCACACGCACAGTCAAGAATAAACATTTTGTTTTTAATAAAAAATATTGAATTCGTTGGAAACAATTTTTTTTTACTAGCTATATGACTGAAAAAAATATCATTTTTTATTGAACACCCGTTACTTCATTGAATAATCGTGTTTTATTTGTGTATTTCCTCTTACCTTTTTATGTTACTTAAACCATCGTTAGGCTATATCAAGCCGGACATATAAATTCGAATGTTCAATGGTCTAGGACCTGGAAAATATTGGGGGAGAATTTCAAGGAACTTGACTAGAATTCCAAGATTTTTCTTATAGCGAATTCGTTTATTATTCAGTTCCAACCTGGATCGGGTATCAAGATTGGGTCTGCTTGTTTTCTGACAAACGTCAGTTTGCTCGTTTGTTTTTAAAACCTAGCTCAGGTTGAGGTTCACACTGACAAAAAGTTCGGTTTCGCACTGGGTTGGAACTGGTGTTAACCCCGATAATAAACGAATTCGCTATTAATGTAGGTAGAGAAAATAACGGCTTCGACTATTCATTGCCTATGTAAATGTTCTATGATGCACCTTCATGCAAAAAAACAGCGCGCAAGATAATAAATAAGAAGTGCCGAAGCCGTCATTTCCCCTATACCAATTGCTATCCCATAACTATTAGCTTTCTGGGTACTAACGTGCCTTCGAAGTTGCGAAAGTTAAATGAGGACCATCAAAAGTCTGTTCGCATTGTTACTTGTTAACATCTTTAATTTGGAGAAAAAAAAATGTAAAGACAAAATACAAATACAAAAAAAAATTCCATTTCAACTAATCAATTTCGTCGGTCTCTGGAACGTGAATTAGTCCGTTGCCGAGATCCGGACCGAGTTCGTGACCGTGGCCGAGACCCGGATCGGGACCGGGATCTGGACCGGGTTTTTCCCTTTTGCCTTGAGGTCCGCAACATTGATCGGGCCTTTTCCTGGGCGGCCATCCGTCGACGAATGGCAATTGCTCGGCGCTGTGCCGGTGGACGCTGATTCCAACCAGGACCACAATCCACCTGCTGCATGATCAGATCCAGGGTTGGTGTTCGCGAGAACCTTACGTGTTCGGTGTGGTTTACAGAACCGCTAGGCCCTTCATTTGGTTCTTCCGGCGTACCTGCGTTCAGTGCTTTAAGTTCTTCTTGCAGAAAGTGCAGTCGTGATTGGAAAAGCACATCTTCACGTTTGTTTAAATCCACGAATAGCTTGAATCCTTTGTCGGAAGCGGAGATCAGTCCAAATTTGCGACCGGTTTCCAGATGCTTCGAAACTTCTCGTTCCAGGTTCGGAGACTTCAAATCCAGTTGCGGCTGAAGGTGCAGCACAGCATTGGCGATCACGTTCATTGAAACTGATACGGGAATAACCGTAAGGTCGTAGGAGCCTTATGAAAGTATCTTTATATTACCTGGTTCTCGGGAGCTCTTCAAAATACCAATGATTATCGGGAACATATTGGATGTTTCCAGAAACACAACCGATGTGTAGAACGTGAAAAATCTGAATGTCAGTTTCTATGTTTTTCGTGAGCTACTACGGTGAAGCAGTAGGTTGCTCTGATCACACCTTTGTAGTACATCCTCGTGTTGCCTTGATTTGATTAAAGGGGATCAGATTGAATACTACTTCACCCTATTGGTGATGCCTATAATTAGTATAAATGTGTTTTGCCTCCCATTCTCAGAAGAACCAACTTTTTAGTATTTGAATGGGATTAATCGGAAGGGTCCAATCTGAGTTCTTTTAAGAGGAGTTGATTGGCAATCGAGTTTTATCACAACATTCAAATGTCTGAAATTCGTACACTCATTGTCCATTCCGGCCACGATTCCGACAGCTGTATGGTTCGTTAAATTGTCCCAAGGATAGATTCCGCTCTATTCATTCATGCCCAATTGGGGGAGGCATTATAAATTTTGAGGATTCACCAATAGCTCCGAATTCGGATCCATACTGAGCATCCTGAATATTTATAGCCATTTTAGTCAGGAAGTTGAAGATTGTAAGTCCAGGTTTAAGTAATACTGAATTTGATATTTGCAGAGGTCAAGATCGATAATCAACCAGTGGCCCCGCAGTCGGAGGTAACCTGCGTAACAGGACAGTTCATAACGCTAAGCATCGGCATTTGCAATCTGTCGGCTTCGGTGCTGCATCAGGTGCAAGTGTCGATCCAATTCTATCAAGACTTTCAAAATGGACACCACAACTATCGTCTGGAGACGCGCGTAACGATGACGGGAGCGAATCAGTGAGTAGTTCTCACCCGGAGATATATGTTTCGAAACTAATATGATTCATTTTCCTCATGTAGCATTCTGATCCCGGCGTTGAACAAAGACGAAAAAGCATTCCACGAGTGCTCGGTAGTGTTCTTCACTCCGGGTCGATTCAAAGCCGACATCCAATGTCGCTCGCTGAGCTCACAGGGAGAGGCAGGTCCATCGTCGTCGTCGTCCTCGTCCCACGTGTGGCGATTCATTCCACCGGTAGAGATAACGGTGATAGATCAGTAAGCCAACTTGCAAAAACACGATTAGCCAACAAACAAATGAACGAGTAAAGCGCTTTAAAAGGATGTAGGTATAGCTTGCTTGCTACACACTAAAGGCAATAGTTAATTTTTCGTTTTCTGTATAATCAACAGTTTTAGTTAGGTTCGTTCAAAACTTAAATCCTCACTACCTACCTACAACATTTGATTCAGCATTAGAGGTTTACGTTCTGGGAAATCGACTTTTCTATACTTGTAAGTAGATCGTTAATTCATAAGGTACTGGTGAATTATCGGAAAGCAGAGCAATACGAAGATGAAATTAGGTGACTTTTGTCTGAGACAAAAGTCGTGTGACTTTGAAACAAAAGCTTTTTCCCGCTTTAGATTTTTTTTTCTTGTTGAAGATGAATACTATTACTGAATACGCATGTGTATCCAATCTACGTAAGACAAAACGAAATTATTATTTCCTACGATTACATAATTATTCTCACGCTATTGTACGGTATTGTATCTTGGGGTGAGGAGCAACAAATTTAGTAGATATTATGGGTGACCGAATATAGCGACAAAAAACAACAACTGGAAAAGCCAACATACAGTATAATAATAAGCATTAGGTCTACTGTAATAGGACGCTGCAAGAGCACTACGATTTTTTGTTACAATGGAAGAATGGATGTTATTTATTATTGAATAAACGAGTTGCGCAAGCAAAGCTATATTAACATTATGGCTAAAATAAACTTAATCCAAACGCCGTTATTCTAATGCTTATGTTAAGTTCGATTGCACAGATTCTGTCAGCTTCTTAAAATAATTAACTCAAGTGACATTGATCGATTCTTTGCATCGGCTTGCCGTAGTAGATGCTAGACAATAGCCTCTTTTATCGAACTGTGTGTTGAAAATAGCTGGAAATTTCTATACACGACCGTGGGGTTCTTTGCTATGTTACTTAGGATCTAATCCGTTGTTTGGCTTGAAGGAGCCGACCCAAGTAACAATTGAGGTTTTTTTTTTCATAGTCTTGAAGCTCATGATTTTTACTTGCAGAATGCTTTAAAACCTTCATAGAACTTTAAATGTTCTGTCTTCTCTGCTGAAGCTGCTGCCATCTTCATCACTACTAAAACGCTCTCCGACCGACCGATCCTGGTCCTCACGGATTCGCACAGCGTCATACAAGCCCTGACATCAGAGGCCCCGACTCATCCCTGGGTACAGGTGACGATGAAGTCCGCGCCACCAAACACGGTATTCTGCTGATTTCCGGGGCACTGCGGAATACCAGGCAACTCTGAGGACCATCTGCTCTTCGCTATACCAACGAAGTACCGTTACACGATGTCAAGCGCAGGATCGTGAGAAAAGTTCGGGAAGCTTGGGACGCAGAGTGGGCCCAAAACAGCTCCCTCGTCATCAGACGGATCAAAGGGACGACAAGGAAATGGACAGAACAGTTGAACCAGCGGCATACGCGACATGCTGGGTGATGATCCATCCACACTGGCAGTAGCTATGCGCTTTTTAAAGGATGCTGCATTGTATTTTAAAGTTTAGTCTTTTTTAATTCCTTTCGGCTGTAGGGACATCTCTGCCTGGTGGGGGCCCTCCCAGTTCCCCCGGTGTGGAGCTCTGTCTCATTCAGATTTTAATGTTGTCTCTTTAATATGTTGTGTAAATGTACGATCGAGCCAGGAACCAATTTTCGGTTGAAGTAAACACCGTAAAAAACTACTCTGTTGGGGGTCCTCCTTCTGAGGCTCCACCTTACATGGACGAGATAAACTAGCCTACGGCTAAAAATCTCAAAAATAAAGTTTAAAAAAATAATAAACAAATACCATAAACGAACTGTGTCCCGGATGGGTTTGGATGATACCCCGAACACGTCGTTAAGCTCTCTTTTATGGTTATTTTTATTAGGATTGCAGCTCTCCTCGGAATTTCTCTTTGATTTATTGATTGATCAACTTTTAAGGGATTTTCAGCCTTAGGTGACCATTAGGCTTTGTAGTCATTTATTCATGAAGTTTGTCGTAGGGTTAATTCACATTGAAATTTCCGAATTAGTTGGCGTAACATTGTACAGGTGAAATCTCACTAAAAGACGTTGGACCAGGAAAGAAAGGTAAGTTAGCGGAAAGCATAACAGATACATTATAAGCATTTTTATTTTTTTAATAATTATGAGCACTATACATAAACTAAACAAGTATGACCATGGATGAGCATGAGATTTATTATACAAATAAGCCTCAGCCTTATAGTTTGTCATACAACTGTATCCGTGACATAACCCTTATTGGTTCTGTCTTGCCGCATTCATTCGTATTCGCATTCGCACTAAAGCAAGTTGCACAAATTCGTAAGTGGTACATGTCCTAGACCATTGTTTGAGTATTGATACCTCCGTCCGTTACCGTGATGACCGAAATTTGGGATTGATCTCGGCCTCTTAGATGGAAGTAGCACTATCTCAAACAATCGAGGCCACGTCCTTGCAACTGCTGGGGATGGGAAGGATTGTTAGTTGGACACTTACTAAAGATTGGTCCTTTCGAATCCTCCGACCTCTTATAAGTGTCACAGGAGTTTGGAAGTTTGTTAGTGGGGAGGGTGAAGCCATAGGAAACGTTCGGTAAACGTTGCTGGCAGATTTATAATAGTAATGGGGATAGATATAATAAGGCATAGTGAAAAATTTCAAGGAAGGGGACATCGTCTTTGATCAGATTTTCATAAGTCTTCAAACAAAATTTACATGTGCACCTTAGACCAATATTAAACAAGAGTAAAATTATTGTATTGTACAGGTAACCAATGCTCAATAAGAAAAAAGTTCATTAACATTAATTTTTCCCAGTTTTGTCAACACCACCTTAAATTACCAACCCCCATTAAATGCAAAACACTTATTTTGCAGAACGCAGCATGATGTTAATGCTGAGATGATTTCTAAGGCCGCGACTCTGCTCAAGTCATCCTTCAATCCTGGACCTGATGGAGTTTCATCTGTATATTTGATCAGACATATTGCTAGTTTGTTAATTCCGCTTCTTCGCCTGTTCCGAATGTCTCTCTCCAGTGGCATATTTCCATCTTGCTGGAAATTTGCGCACATGTTTACCGTCCACAAAAAAGGAAGGAAACGAGCTGTGGATAACTATCGAGGAATTACATCGTTAAGTGCCGTTTCGAAGCTATTCGCCACATGGGACCGTTAATTTTTATATAGTACTTCAACGACGTGTTTCTCCCTCCCCTTGGCTAGTTTTTTTAACCTGGACGTTGGTGGGCGGGCCTAATCTTATGCTTCATAGTGGAGCGTTGGAGACGGTTGGTTTAGGTCCGGCATCGTTGGCTCATGCCGTGACAGAATAGCGTCATGAGCATGCGATGAGGACTACTGAGCTTCCCCTCTCTGATGTACCATTGCATAAGAGAACCAAAGTTCTAGCCTGAAGTGATAGTATCACACTTGTTACTCCTTTATTTGAAAGCCGCGTTGTAGTACGCTTACGTATAGGCACTGATGTTGGGTGCGATACTGGCGGGTTTTGCCGCAAATCACTCTTATTTTATTTATTTTTACGCAGATAGATTTATTTGGGAGGGAATTATACTTTTGAAATATTTCAGAAAGTGCACAACAGTGCTCCTTCTACTTGCGTGACAAGCTTTCGTTGTTGTTTTCATTGAGGCATTACTCAGGGAACAATGTTAAACACCATTTTTGTACATGGTATTGCAACTAATCTTATATGTGCTTCATTTTGATTTGGGATAAGTGTTTGAACTATGGCTGGGGATTTCCACTGTGGCGTGCTTCTATTGTGACATAACCATACCTATTTTTGTGGTGCGACATAGTGGAAACGTGTGACCGTAGTTGAAGCATATACCCTATGTAATTTAAAAATCAGCTAGGAAACTAACTTCAAAGTGAAGCATTTAAGTCACTTGAAGGTGTCACCTGGGACGAACTAATATATATTAAATATAGGTCAAAGTCAAAAACAGCTTGAAACACGTTAAATTTTAGATTACATTCACAAGTACAGGTACTTAATAAAGCATGGTAGGTAGATTAGAGATTTCAATTATTTATTAAATTAGACTAGAGATATCATAATCATCAAACGAACTTAAATAAGAAAATTTAGACAGCCTAGTAGACAGAAGAGTTAGGATGCGGAGGGTCCGCTTAGCGAGGCAACTGGCCTTTAAAGCAACTGGCAACTAGCCTTTAAAGCAACTCGCAACTAGCATTTTCATGTATTGTCTGTTTATTTTGATTAAAAATATCAATTTGAAAAAAATATATGTGAAAGGATGAATCAGTGGGAGATGGATTTTCGGTTTCTTTACATTTAGTATCACTATGTGTCATTTCCTCAAAACCCCCCAATAACCGGCCTCTTCAATCCCTTCCTTTTCCCATGGCGTTCAAGTGGTCCGCATAGACTATTCAGCCATTACCCGTCCTTTATCCTTGGCTTTGGATTGACTTGCGCTCCCATTGCCCCACCAAACGCTGCAAAATGAAAATGAAAATGAAAGTACTTCAACGACGTGTTTCTGGTCATCGAAGCTCCTCAGTTATCATATGCAGATGACCTCAAAATCTTCCTACGAATCTGCTCCATTGCTGACTGTCACTTTCTTCAACGTCAGCTGAATGTATTCACTAGTTGGTGCAGGTTAAACAGAATGGTAGTAAACCCAGCCAAATGCTCCGCTATTACGTTCGAAAACAACAACCGATTTTTTTTTTTTTTTTTTTAACTCTATTTGTTCCAAATTTAAAATAAATTACATTTCATTTTAACCTAGGTGCTCCAGTTACTGCAGTAACGTACCAGCCTTAATTGTTATGATATATATCTAAGTGTTTTTACATTGTTCATGTCTTGGCAATTCAGTATTTTAAACAGGTTTTTTAACCTGCATGTCAGTATAACAATTGATATCTTAAAACTAAAAACTAAAACTAAATCTTATCTAAGTATAAAGGGAATTAATCGTTGCAATTGAGGATTGCAACGATTTTTGCCTGAAATTATTAATTATTTTGTTGGACATTTGTGCTAAAGTCTCAACATTCGAAATTCTATGTACTTCGGTTGTACTGTACCAGGGAGGCAACTTCAAAATCATTTTCAGAATTTTGTTCTGAATCCTTTGAAGTGCTTTTTTCCTGGTAGTGCAGCAACTAGACCATATTGGCACAGCGTAAAGCATGGCCGGTCTAAAAACTTGTTTAAATATTAGAAGCTTATTCGTCAGGCAAAGTTTGGATTTCCTGTTTATAAGAGGATACAAACATTTTATATATTTGTTACATTTGGCTTGAATGCCCTCAATGTGATCTTTAAAAGTTAATTTTTGGTCAAGTATTAATCCAAGATATTTCACTTGTTTTGACCAGGAAATTGGAACTCCGTTCATAGTGACTATGTGACTACTACTAGGTTTCAAAAAGGAAGCCCTGGGCTTATGTGGAAATATTATAAGTTGAGTTTTGGAAGCGTTGGGAGAAATCTTCCATTTTTGTAAATAAGAAGAGAAAATATCTAAACTTTTCTGCAGTCTGCTGCAAATAACACGAAGACTTCTTCCTTTAGCGGAAATGCCTGTGTCATCAGCGAACAAAGATTTGTGGCAACCCTGAGGCAAATCAGGGAGGTCCGAAGTGAAAATGTTATACAATATAGGCCCAAGAATGCTACCCTGAGGAACTCCTGCCCTAACAGGTAGTCGATCAGATTTGGAATTTTGATAATTTACTTGAAGAGTTCTGTCAGTTAAATAATTTTGAACTAATTTCATAATATAAAGTGGAAAATTAAACTTTTTCAATTTAGCAATCAAACCTTCATGCCAAACACTGTCGAATGCTTTTTCTATGTCTAGAAGAGCAACTCCAGTTGAGTGGCCTTCAGATTTGTTTGAACGAATTAAATTGTTAACTCTTAACTCTCATCTGCAAAAATTGAGTTCGTATTGATGTGAAGCATCATTCTATTCAAAATTATCTTTTCAAAAAGTTTACTTATTGAAGAAAGCAAACTTATTGGACGGTAGCTAGAAGCTTCAGCTGGATTTTTATCCGGCTTCAAAATTGGAACAACTTTTGCATTTTTCCATTTATCAGGAAAGTATGCCAAATGGAAACATCTGTTAAATAATTTTACCAAGAAAGACAAGGTACTCTCTGGGAGTTTTTTGATGAGGATATAGAAAATTCCATCATCACCTGGAGCCTTCATATTTTGAAATTTTTTAGTTATAGACCTTACTTCGTCCAAATCAGTCCCCCAGGAATCATCAAAAATATTTTCCCGAGAGAAAATATTCAGAAAATCCCGAGCAACCTGATTCTCAATAGGACTAGTAAGACCCAAACTGAAATTATGGGAACTCTCGAATTGCTTAGCAAGTTTCTGAGCTTTTTCCAAATTTGTGATCAAAATTTTACCACCTTCTTTAAGCGCTGGAATAGGCTTTTGAGGTTTTTTCAAAATTTTTGTGAGTTTCCAAAAGGGTTTGGAACTCGGGTCTAATTTAGAAATATTATTTTCAAAAGTTTTGTTCCTCAGGGCAGAGAATCGCTTTTTAATTTGTTTTTGCAAATCCCGCCAGATAACTTTCATGGCAGGATCGTGTGTTCTTTGATATTGTCTCCTACGGACATTTTTAAGACGGATCAAGAGCTGAAGATCATCGTCTATTATAATTGAATCGAATTTAACCTCACATTTTGGTACTGAGGCAGCTCTTGCTTCAAATATAGAAGTAGTCAGAGATTCAAGAGCATAACTAATTTCATCTTTGGTTTGCAAAGGAATGTTTGGATCGAAGTTATATTCCATAAATGTTCGATACTGCTCCCAATCAGCTCTATGGTAATTGAAAGTAGAGCTGTTGGGATTACAAATTATTTCTTGGGATATTTCAAAAGTTACTGGAAGGTGATCAGAACCGAAGTCAGCATGGGTAACCAATTGGCTACAAAGTTGACATGAATCAGTTAAGACCAAATCAATAGTGGAGGGATTTCTTGCAGAAGAAAAGCATGTTGGGCTGTTTGGATATTGAATAGTGTAATAACCTGCAGAACAATCATCAAACAGAATATTACCATTGGAATTGTTTTGAGCATTATTCCATGAGCGGTGTTTTGCATTAAAATCACCAATAATGAAGAATTTAGACCTATGACGGGTAAGTTTCTGGAGGTCACCCTTGAGAAAATTCTTTTTCCGGCCTACGCATTGGAATGGCAAATAGGCAGCTATAAACGTAAGTTGTCCAAATTTTGTTTCAACAGAAACTCCCAAAGTTTCAAAAACTTTGGTTTCAAATGAAGAAAGAATTTTATGTTTGATTCGTCTATGAATAATGATGGCAACGCCACCACAGGGTCCATCAAGACGATCATTTCTATAAATCAAGTAATTTGCGTCCTTCTTAACCTTATGGTCAGGTTTAAGGAACGTTTCAGTTATAACGGCAATATGCACGTTATGAACTCTCAAAAAGTTAAATAGCTCGTCTTCATTATCTTTAAGAGATCAAGCATTCCAATTTACAATATTTAATGCTTTAAAATCCATTACTGAATTTTAAAGTCATGACAATATTATTTGCAAATGTTACTCCAGTTTGAATAGCATCAAACATGGAGTTAGATTTAAGCATATCAGAAATCATGTCAATTAATGAATTCTGTAAAAATTCCATTTTGGGGGCAGTAATGCTTCCTAAGTCAAAATTGTCAAAATTTCCGTTAGAACGTTGGTTAGTATTTTGATTTCTACCCGCTGCAATAGCAGCATAGGTAGCTCCATTAACTCGCTGAACATTGTTAGCAGCGAGGGGAGTAGGTACAGATGAAACATTTGAAGCAGGGGAGATATTTGTACCTACGGGTACGAATGTAGAATTTGTTCCTCGCTGACCGTTGTTAACAGCAGAGGAATTTATACCTGGTCGGAAACGTGGGGCGTTCCCTTCCTGTCGGTTAGAACGAGATTGTAGGATCGCTTTGCGAGTCTTACATTACCAAAAATTGGATTTGTGGTTTTCACCACAATTTGAACATTTAAATTTCTTAGGATCTTCCTTCACAGGACAGTCGTCCTTTGCGTGAGAGGAATCACCACAATTCATGCATTTAGCTGGCATGTAGCAATTTTTAGTTCCGTGACCCCATCCCTGGCACTTACGGCACTGGGTGAGGTTTTGGAAATTTCCTCCAGTCTTCCTGAAGTGTTCCCACTTCACTCGGACATGGAGCATAAGGCTAGCTTTTTCTAAGGCCTTAAGGTTGTTTAGTTCACTAGACTTGAAGTGAACTAAATAAAAATCATTAGAAATCCCGTTGCGCGAATCGCCAGGACGGGATTTCATTTTCATTTTGATTACTTGGAGTGGCACAACTCCAAGTAATTTTGCCAGTTCATCTTTGATCTGATCCAGGGATTCACCACTGGGCAGTCCTTTCATGACAACCTTGAATACACGTTCAGTTTTGGTGTCGTAAGTAAAAAAATTGTGCTTCTTCTCAGTAAGATACTTGAGAAGACATTTAAATCCGTCCAAGGTTTCAGCCAATACACGGCATTCACCCCGACGTCCAATTTGTAGTGAAAACTTAACTTTCACGAAATTCAAAAGTTCCATGCGAAGAGCATGGAAATCGGTAGTGGTTATCACAATAGGGGGAATCTTTTCCTTCTTGGCATTAAGCCGGGAAAGTTTACTAGAATTTTTCTTGGATGATGGATCATTCTCATCATCCGTGAGCAAATCAAATTGATTACTCAAATTAATTTCATCAGAAGGGGGGTCAAGAGTTTGCCCCTTTCTTTTGCGTTTAGGCGCCATGGCGGCAGTAAATTTTTATCCAAATCGACTTCCAAGCAGATTACTATAAGAATTTTCCAAATCGATATCCAAGAAGGATTACCTCGGGTAGGGTCCAAACAAGGATCGAAGAGGAATAAGAGTTGAACAAGGTAGAAAATTTTTACAGGTTGATTTCTGATTCTGTTTAAATTTGTTGTAGCTTTAGGTAGTAGTAACACTTCCTTCAGCAAAAAGCAAATAGATCCGCACGGCAAGAGAGCACGATGCGGACTGACAACAACCGATAATATTTAGCTATAACCTGCTTGGCTCGACAATCGAACGCGTCAATCAGGTGAAAGACTTGGGTGTGATCTTGGATCCACAGCTTTCATTCAAGCAACACATTGTATATGTTGTTGATAAGGCGTCAAGAACTTTAGGGTTCATTTTTAGGATAGCTAAAAACTTCACTGATATCTACTGTCTAAAATCTCTCTATTGTTCGCTTGTTCGATCGACGCTTGAGTATTGTTCAGCGGTTTGGAACCCAAACTACAACAACGGTACCGAGAGAGTTGAATCTGTTCAACGTCGCTTTCTTCGTTTTGCGTTGCGTAGATTGCCTTGGAATGATCCGTTTCGATTACCCAGTTACGAAAGCCGTTGTCAACTTATCGACCTAGAACCGTCTAGAAGAGACACAAGCAGAGCCCTAATCGTGGCCGATATCCTGCAAGGAAGGACTGATTGCGAGGCTATCATGAGGCAAATTGACCTGAATGTTCAACCCCGACCGCTTTGTAATAACCTTATGCTAAGACTGCCTCTACGTCGCACAAATTATGGAGCATACGGTGCAATTTGCGGACTGCAGAGAACATTCAACAGAGTTGCATCTGTTTCGACTTTCATCTCTCCCGTGATGCGCTTCGTCGAAAGTTTTCTTCTGTTTTTCGCCGGCAGGAGTAACCGACTATAAGACATATGTTTTTAATGTTTTTTTATGTTATGACCATGCTTGAATGTATTTTTTTACTATAGTTGATAAGGTTAACATCATTGGGGCTTCATCCAGCCTCTTGATGTAAAACAACAATATACAATGAGAACATACTAAAGCAGAGCTTTACATACATTTTACTAATTTAATTGTCAAAAGATGTGGTTAGATTTGTCGGTGGTTTAGAGACGATGCTCGTCTTGCCCCATATGTTCAGCTTACCCCACTTTTCCCTATGTGGAAAGCATGGTGTCAGCGCTCTGCTGATATGCGATGGATTTCATCCTTCTTTATTCTGCAATGATTGTGCCTCGGAGTTGACGAGAGTTATGTGCCGAGTCCTTGGCGGATCATGCCAAGATGTTGGTCATCGAAACTTGAATAAATTGTTCGAAGTGCTCAAATCAGTTGGAAAGCAATTGTGCAGGTACCTATATTTGTTTTGTCACCACCAGTTCTGTTGCAGTTTTCTCCCCTTCGTCGGTCAAGATGCTCCGAGGTACGTACAAGAGTACAGTACAACCATGTTTATTCATTTTCGGAGCGATGTCGTCAAATGGATTAATCTTTCAATAAAAAAATCATTGCCAAATACGCACAATATTGTACGACGGTACTTTATTACGCTGAATACGATGTCTTACGTTCATACTAATATGTGTCCAGAATAGGGCGTAGTTTTGTTGTTGCTGTTTCTACTCATAAAGGACGCTAAAACTACACCTGCCACCAGACTAAAGCTTATGCTAACATGTTTGATCAATAATACATCATTCTTAGAAATACACATTTTTCAATATACAGCCGAAGCTGAAAGTTTAAACACTCTTCTAGGTGATTTGCTAACAGGGTATTGTAGCGATGTTAATCAGATTATATACAATCAAAGTATTACCAAATCGGCACACGTTCTGCCGTGAATCCATAATATGTTTTCAAATCAAACCAAAACAAGAACTAAAAAGGAATGTAATACCTTCGTATGCAAACTGATGGGCCAAAACAAATTGGGGCCGAATATAATTTTCCAAAATTGCTAACAAGAAAGCTAAACAGAAGAACAAACATAACAAGCCCAGCTTCTTAAGCCTTTCCGCTGATTGTTGATCCGGATTGGGGAGCCTTCTCGCTTTCCTTCTCCAACTGCTTGCCAAGGTACTCCCTGCAATTTTTATGCGAGAAAGAAACGAATTAATATCTTGAAATTGAATGAAGCTTGATGAAATGCCGTACCAGTTGTGGACCATCAGTTTCTGAACGGCAAGCAAGGCTTCGTAGCGAACATTTGGGTCGTCATGGCCCAGCAATTGCATGACAAGCTGCTTTCCACCCAGTTGCTCGATGACGCTGAAATAATTAAAATTATTATGTAGGTTCAGGGCTTTTCCTTAAAATGAATCCAACTTACTGCTTTCCCCTTGGGTAGTGGCGGACATATTCTCCGATATCGTAGCTAGCAACGGACAGCACCAGGGGGTCCTTGGAGGTTTCCAGCAGATGGACGAGAATACGGAGCAACTCGTAGTTCTTCTCGTTCAGACGCTGAGCATTCTCACGCCAGAATTTGGCCGACTTGTGCACCGGAGACCACTCCAAGCGGGCACTCTTGATTTCCGTGGAGTATTCGTCAAACGAGCTTAGATCATGCACCGAGTTCTGCAGCTTCTCAATGAGGAACTCCAGATCGGCACTGATGTCTTCATCGTCGAACCGACGCTGCTCCAGAATCTGCAGTTGCTTCATGACCTTGCACTGCACCATAGCGATGCAATGTTCCTTGGCAACCTGCGCATCGTCGGGCTTCTCGATCATGTTTCGGAACACGGCCAAAATGATGCGGGTGACCTTCTCCTTGGCACTATCGCTCAGGATATCGGCCAAGATGGGGATGACGTTGAACTTGTTCATCTTCTCCGCCAGCAACGGATTGAATGTCAACACCCACAAGCAGAATACCAATTGATATTGAACCTGTAGTCAAATGATGCGGATTATTAATCAAAAACTGAGATCTCAAGCCACTTCAAGTACGCACCTGGAAGTTGACGCGGGACGATAGAATGCTAATCAACGTACTGATTCCATCGACGGTGACGAACGCGAAACGGTATTCATCAACGCGCAGCATCATCTGCAGACAGCGGGCCACTGATTGGATGTACTCGTTATTCTGATCAGCCAAAAAAAAAAAATGCACAGTATTATACTTTGAGCGTAGCCACAATCCTTATCGTATAAAATGATTCGAAAGCAGTCCAATGATTGTCAATGAAATCTCGTTCACCTCTCTTTACAACATCGATGAAACAGAGTTAGAACGCTTATGATATTTGTCCGATAAAAGCTTTGTTAGAGGGAGTACGAATAAAATGGGAAAATTTTGACATCGCAAACTGACTCAAATCTGTACATGAAAAAGAGGAAGACTTCGCGAGCTGCCAGCTATAAGATGGTCTTCTGATGGGTGATTTAGGGGGGGTCTTAAAGGACTACCGTAAGGGAGACGTTCGGTTCTTCGCCTTCTACACGTTGGCGTGGCTCATCTATAGCACTCGTTATCTCGCGGTACTTTTCCTCTATCTGCTTATGGTGATGGTGCTCATGATGAGGCAAATGGAAGTGCAGAAGATGGTGATGGTGATGCTGATCACCACCACCACCACTTGCTGCCCCACTCTGATGAGCGTGATGTCCATGTACGTGTTGATGCGCCGCTGCTGCTTCATCGGCGCGCTTCTTCTCAGCTTCTTCGAGTTCTTTCAAAAGTTTTTGAGCCTACTCGGGGGAAATTTGTACAAATTTATCAAGAGTTCTACTTTCAAACAAACTCAGAAACACGGTCAGAGTTATGTTAAAATCACGCCGTTAACACTAATTCTCAATCTGTGAACGCTAAGCTCAGAAAATCTAAATTCATTCACAAAAGAGTTAGTAGCGGAAGCTTTGGAAATCTTAGCTTGACACACGACAGGAAAAAACAGGAACATCACACTCATCACAGCATTCGCCTAATTCAAGAAATTTTCGTAAAGCAGCTGTACATTTATATTTATATTAGTCATACCAAAGCAATTGAGCAAGCCTTTTTCTAAAAAGAAAACAATACTCACAGCCACGGTTAGTTGATCCTTCAGCCACTGTAGGTAGAAGTGCAAATCTGACTTGGGCATCAGTTCCTGACTCCAGCAAGCCAGCTTACCCACGACGCGCGAGGCCATGTTCACAATGAAACCATCCTGACGGTTCAACAGATTCAAGAACGGAGCCCATACGCTTTCCTTGCGCTTGTTGGCATAGTCGTGGAACAGTTGAACTCGAGTACGGTCCTCCTGCAGGAGGTCATCAATCATCACCAGAATGTACTGGATTGTCTGATCCTTCGAAACGTGCGACAGCAGGTTCAGGAACGTCTTGGCGCTTTGTCCTGGATTTTCCTGCAAGTATTGAGCCTGGGATTTCTTATCCTTATCCAGACTGCTGACGCAAGCATAGTCCTCCTGAGAGATCATCTGGGACTGCTTGTAGGACGACCAGTTCGGCTTGTTCATACGGATGTCGCCTGCCTGCTGCTGCAGAACGCTGGTGGCAGCGATCATGTCTACGAAAAAACACAAAAACGTCACGTGATTCAAATTTCTTAGATAACATTTTTCATCCCAATTTGATGGGCCTTTAATCTATTTCTACTCGTTCTCCATGTATTTTCTTTTCCATAAACCAGATTGTTGCTCAAATCTAGGATTTTGGAAAATTTGCCCAAAAGTATCGATTTTCCTTCGATCCCTATCCCATTAAGTGGAAAACAAAACAAAACCCAACGTCATCCAACTTTTAACTTACCGATTTTATCGTCCGGCAGGGACGACATTAGATCCTGGACGTCGGACATGGCAACGGGTTGCTTTAGGAGGTACGATGGAACCGGAAATTTAGCAAATAATACGCAAATTCAACCGAGAGGAGCTGATTTTCCGATACTATTTCCCGATGAGGATCTCGAACAGTCAACCAATGAAAATCCGTACTCAGCTGAATGTCATATGACTTGGGGTAAACGGGACAGCAAGTGGTCAAAACAGCACCTGACTTGACGTGCAGGCGTTACGTTTTGTGACGTTTTCTTATAATTTTGAGTATAGATACTATACTTACACGGTGTATCTTGAAAACCCATTAATGGGTAAAAAAATATTAATATCGTGTATGCAGCTCTAAAAAAATTAGGGAATTTGGAAACCATAAAACTGGTGAAAAAAAAAACACATTTGAAGAATCAGTTCACGATTGCATAATGGGTATATATTTACACACTAATGGGTGAAAAAACACTTCGAAATTTTATCGTCTCATTTCCGGCACCGACTCATTGGGAATGCATACAGTTACTCCTTCTTTCCTTTATTTAACGTCGGTCTCTGTTCCGCAATCTAGTGCCAATCACTGACGGACATCGATTGCCATCCATTGACGGCAATCGAATGTGCAGGAAGGCAGCTTCCACACCTGCGTAGGATATCACACCCATTCAACACACATGGGCCGGGACCAACGGTTTTACTTCCCTTCCGAAGGAAGACGTGACCAGAGATTTTTATGCCTCAGAAAAATCCCACCGACCTCGGCTGGGATTGAACTCAGACCCATTGGTTCTCACCACCGGCGCCGGCACATACATCCGCAGCTTTTTTTTTAGCTAAGATGGACGATCTCCGGAAAAGGTTAGATTCCGAAACGTTGAAGAGGCTTACGGATAAGTCAACAGTTTTATCAAATATGGTATTATAATATTTCTTGCAATAAATGATCGGAACACCTGCATTTATTTTCAATTTAAATATTAGATTTTTTTTTGTGTATCCACGAGGACAAATAACCAAGCACCTGCGTCCTACATTTGAAAAAAAAAATGTTTTTTTCCCATTTTACGGTAAACACAATTTAAGAAAATGGGTAAAAAAAACACCCATTTATTGACAGACATCCCATTTACCCATTAATGAGTAAACCATAGTTCACCCATTAAATAAGGAGGAGCACTTTTAGCGGAAATTGATATTTTTATACCCATTAATGGGTTTTCGTGGGTGTTTTTTAATAAGCTATTATTAGCAGTGTTATCGATTAGCTTGGGACTCTTCGGTCCCAAGCTAATAGATGCATCCATCGAAACAGGTTATAGCTAACGATTTTAAATTCACTCACTCGATGCATAAAAGTGGAGTAGTACCAACAATCAATATGAAACTAACGGTTTTCAATTGGCCCACTGCTTGACTAGCCGATTGGTCCCAAGCCAATCGATTAACATACCCCATTATAGTTGAAATTCTAGTACTACACTATGTTTGTTTTGAATCGCTATGAAAGTATGACAGATATTCTTGGATTTTCTTAGATTTTCTTATGTTTCGAGCGGTGCATCGATTAGCTTGAGACCGAAGAGAGTACCAGAGCTGAGCCAAAAAGTTGAGCACCCGCATAAATGGGAACCATTACTTGAACTTCCCAAAAATGGTTAACAATTGTTTATAACCCATGCTAAACTGTAACTGAAATGGTTATGGAACTTAACATAGACGTTTTTGTGATAAAGTTTAAACCTTATGTATTATGGTTTTTTGGAAGTGAACCTTTCAAATAATGGGTTGTTAAGAACCATTACCATATCATAAATCTTGATTTCTCCATACATTTTTGGGAAAGGAATCATATTGGAACCATTTTATCAACGATTCAAGAACTTTAATTGTAATGGTTATGGTAGTTGGTAAGGTCTATAGATGGTTTTGTAACATCGATCAACTTTATGTGGAATATATCGTGAATTGGTTGCCTTTATATTACTGATTACCAATTCACGATATATTCCGCGTAAAGTTGACCGAGTACAAAACCATTCATGGACCTTACTGTCTACCATAAACATTACCATTAAAGTTCTTAAACCATAGGTAAAAAAGTTCTAATATAGTCCTCTCTTCGAAAATATATGGAGAAAACATCTATTTTGAATGGTAATGGATCTTAAGGTTCTACAAAGGGTAATTAAATTTGTATTCGTCTTCGTTTTGAAATATTCTTCAATCATCATCATTGGTTTACACATTCATTCTCATATTATTAATACAACAATTTAACACTTGTATTTCATGATTTTAGAACGAAAACTTCCTGGGTAAAACATATTCACTGTATTTACTTACTTGTGTTCTTACTTGTTAGCACAATAACACACAATCGAATACACAAAATCCAAAATAACTGCTACTCAAAACTCTTGGTGTACAAAATTGAACACCAAGAAAACCACTTACTGCTTTGCCAGCAATCGTAAAAGTATCATTGAAAAAGCGTTGCCAGATGTATTGCCTTTAGCAATGGATTTAAGTTTATTAAAACAAGCAATTGTGAAGTTAGACTCATTAATATAGATGAGTGGATGTATTTAATGGTGAATAAATATTAGAAACTGAGTAAATAAAACAAAAACGACCATTCTAGGCATTTTACCGCTCCAATTTAAAAAGCCACAGAAGATTGATTTCAACACTAACAGGGTTGATGGCAGCAGTGCACGTAGCCTGGTATTCGCTTTCCCGCTCAGGGGTGTAAACAAACTTGCATACAGCGAAGTCTGGCAGTGTGAACGTTTTGTCTGCTAGATTCTTATGCACTAGATAATGTGACATCACATTTGCTGTTGTATTGAAATGAAGGAAGAAAAGAGATGGTTAAATTTTCCTCACCATACCAGTTGATATTTATGAAACATGAGCAGTTTTGGCGTGGGGACATGCACTTCCAATAAATTTTACCCATACCTTTAGAAAATGATGATCGAATAATATTTCAAAAAGAAGAAGTAAACAAATTATTGACCCTTTGTAGAACCTTAAACCCATTATTTGTAAGGTTCACTTCAAAAATAAAAAGCAGCGCCGCTGGTGTAAACAGCAAAAAAAAAATGTAATATCGATCAATGTAATTCAAGCTGATGTATGAAATAATGATGTAATAGCAAAAAGCAGATACAATATTACATCAATGGATGTAATTTTGTTCGCAAAATCGATGTACATCGTACAACGTTATATTACCCAACCGATGGATTGACCTGCTTGCAGCAGTTTGGATGTAATATTCATAACTTTTTTCCGGTGTAGTGGTAAGCGTGACTGCATTTTTACTCCAATGAGTCTGGGTTTAATCCCAGCCGAGGTTGGCGGGATTTTTCTGAGGCATAAAAATCTTAAGGGAAGTAAAGCCGTTGGTCCCGGCTCATGTGTGTTTGAATGGGTGCGATATCCTACGCAGGTGTGAAAGCTGCCTTCCTGCATATTCGATTGCCGTCAATGGATGGCAATCGATGTCCGTAGGTGATTGGCAATAGATTGCGGAACAGAGACCGACGTTAAATAAAGGAAAGAAGAAGAACTTCCAAAAAACATTATACATAAGGTTAAAACTTCATGACACAAACGTTCATATAAAGTTCCATTACCATTTCAGTAAAAGTTTAGCGGGGATAATAAACAATTTTGACCATTTTCGGTAAGGTCAAGTTATGGTTCGCGTTTATACGAGAAGGTTAACAAGTGATATTTTTTTTAGTGTGCATAAACTGTGGGCAATATTTCACAACATTCTGAGACCCTTTGGCCCATTAAAAAATGTTTGTTTTATTAACGTAAACGCAAAACCAATGGGCACCACAATTGTAATAACGTCCTCGCTTTGCGTAACGCAGACCGATAGCACCAATTGTGTTTATGGCGCTTTTCGGCTTTTGATTCAATGTGTGGAAACAGGTAGGGCAATGTGAGTTTGTCATCTCTTTCGTTCTCGTGTTGTTTAAATATATGATAGAGTTTGACGTCACACTCCATCAACCAGAAGAACGAAAGAGACGACAAATTTATTTTGTCATACCTGTCACCACATTGTTTTTGATTCGCATCGCTTTAGGATCATGTTTTGGTCTCGTCGATTGTAATTTTTGCACTAATTTAGCAACTAATCACTTAAAATATTAACCAAAAGTAGTGAAAATCGTGAAATGGTGAGTTAAGGTACAATTTCCGCTAAAGCTATGTGGAAAATTGTATGAAATTCTTTAGAAAAGTCAGTTAGAAATCTGGACCCAATTCATCATGAAGATTCTGCAGCCAGCTTGGGTTCACCACGATGGTAATGGGATAAGTGGAAATATTTTGCAATCGTGATCTTACCTATTTGTTAATTTCAGAAAAGGCTATTTTTTCGATTGACATCCACCCGGGTGGCGAGAAATTTGCCACCGGAGGTCAGGGAAATGATTCCGGCCGGGTCGTGATTTGGAATATGGCACCGGTGATCAGCGAGGAAGCAGAGAAGGATAAAAATGTTCCGCGGATTCTGTGCCAAATGGACAACCATCTAGCTTGTGTGAACTGTGTCCGATGGAGCGGTAGTGGCACAATGCTGGCATCATGTGCGGATGATAAGCTGATAATGATTTGGAAAAAGAGTGCCGGAGGAGGAAGTTCGTTTGGATGTGGAAAGACGGTGGAGCATTGGAGGTGTATTGCTACCCTACGGGGACATGCAGGAGATGTGCTAGATCTGTCGTGGTCACCGCAGGATCAGTACATTGCCAGCAGTAGCGTGGACAATACGGTCATCATTTGGGATGCTAAGGAATTTCCGGCAATCCTTCAGGTAATGAAAAGTCACACAGGGCTGGTGAAAGGAGTAGCGTGGGATCCGGTCGGAAAGTTTGTTGCATCGCAGAGCGATGATAAAACGTTGAAGATTTGGAAGACTTCGGATTTCACGCTGTTTAAAACGATTACGGAACCATTTGAGGAATGTGGAGGTACGACTCATATTTTGAGATTATCATGGTCTCCGGATGGTCAGTACTTGGTGTCGGCACATGCCATGAATGGTGGAGGGCCGACGGCACAAATAATCGAGCGCGAAGGATGGAAGTGCGATAAGGATTTCGTAGGGCACAGGAAAGCGGTCACTTGCGTAAGGTTTCATAATGCGATTCTGAAAAGGATGGTACCAAAAACGAACAAATCTCAGCAGTATTGTTGTTTGGCCGTTGGATCACGAGACAAGAGTATATCGGTTTGGCTGACTGCTTTGCAGCGGCCACTAGTGGTGATTCACGATCTCTTTCAGGATTCGATCTTGGATCTTAGTTGGAGCCATAACGGCTATATCCTGCTGGCTTGTAGTGGCGACGGACACGTAGCTTGTCTTCAATTTAGTACTGAAGAACTTGGAACTCCACTATCGGAAGATGATCGAAACAGTTTGTACCAGCGAATGTATGGAAAGGATATTACCGCCTTTGATTTGAATGGTCAATCTGGCAAGGATTCGATTATAGAAAATGCCGAATTGTTGAATGTATCTCAATGCAAATTAACCGCACCAACATTAATACCTCAGTCATCGCAAAATGCCACTAAAATAATCTCATCCGCCCAGCCCCCAGTAGCTATGCAATCGTCAACTAGTCAAGAAACCCAGCGACCAATCTTAAAGCAAATTGAAACGAAGACTGCTGACGGTAAACGACGGATTACGCCGATGTTTGTTCCACTTAATGACGACGTGGATGTCCCGGCCTCCGGAAGTGGTACATTTTCCAGTAGCAGCGCCGCCAGCAAAAGCAACATCATCTCTGTCGAACAACAACCCGTGCCTACCGGTGTCAAGAACGTAAGCGAAATTGACATCGAAAATCTTACGGCCCAAACTGCCAAACTTGACAGTCGACTGAAGAAATGCTCAGCACCCGAGCCCCCGGGGCGGACAGAATCAATTCCAGACGTTGATACTAGCACGAAAAGCCCAGCGAAACGTCCAGAGGGTAGTCATCAGCCTGTGCTTTCCGGCAAAGCAGTGCCCATCAAGGGAAATCCAGTAAGAGCCATCGGAGAATACCGAGTCCAGGTCAGTAACGGGGCAGTGAAGACCGGCTATGGACCACTGGGTAAAGTAGTGACCAATCTGTTGACCCTTCCCCGACCGGATAAAAAGGTTTGGGAAACGGTCATTGGATCGCCGGTTGTCAGCTTTTCTGTTGCCAGGAAGTACGTCTTGCTTTGCAGCATAGATGGCAGTATCCGATTTTTTGACATCCACACAGGATCGCCAGTGCTGCCGGTGATGAGTTTGACTAGTCCGGTAGTTCATTGTACGTTTGTAAGTATCGAAGGAATTGTTCTCAATGGAAAGAATGGGCCGCTAATCAATATTGGTACTCGTTTTTCAGAGCCATGATTGTCGACTGGGTGCCGTGCTAACGGAAAATTGTACGTTGCGAATATGGGATCTGGATGAACAGACGATCTTCCTGAATGGCAGCTGTCAGGATATTATGGGGTCGGGTAAGTGATCACGCAGTTAAAAAGCAAGTGTTTTAAAGAATAATTCGGATATTGTTCTATTCCAGGTTACGCTACACTGCTGCACGTGTCGGACCATGGAATCCCATTCATTATCTTATCGAATGGATCTTCGTTTTCCTACTGCAAAAAACTGGAAAGCTGGCTCATGACCAGCTCATCGGATCCGATAATGCGCCATGGGTTGATGACCACCAAAATCGGTTCCACGGTTCGAAACATTAAAGCATTCCCATTGAGCACGGTTCAATCGTTCTCCAACTTTCAACCAATCAATGCCCGGAGTTTTCTGGAAAAGTAAATCACTTTGCTCTTATTTAAATGGATATTCCAAACTTAAACTTTGTATCTTGCAGCCCTAATACCGCCTGGCAGAACTCGGCAATGCTCGCGTTTGTAGAAAACCAGATAAAGATAGCCGAAATGATCAATTCTCCGCCGGAAATGAAACACTGGTATCTAATGCTGGGCTTCCAGCTTGCTCAGCATGGGACGGAGGATAAGATCCGGCAGGTTTTGGATAGTCTGCTTGGATCACCATTCCGGATGGAAGACGGATCCGAATCGTCCATCCTGGGCATCTCCAAGCACACGTTGCTGGAGGAAATTTTGAACCAGCTGAAAACCCAACCCAAATGGCAGCGAATCTACACGGAGTATGCGGAACAGCTCAAATTCTTTCGGCAGCAAACCACCGAAGACACAGACATGAAGGCAGAAGTCGATCCGCATGCCGGCATGTTGCAGTCTCTGTAAGTACTTGAAGTTTGACAATATGTTTTATCGATCAGTCGCAATATGATGTTTATCGGTCAGCAGGTCTGAAGAGTTGTTATATTCTGGAACAGTCCGACAGCCAACCGGGGTTTAATTTATTGGTACTGCCATCATGACCAATTCTACAGAGGACACTTAAGTTAATAAATTTTCAACTTTCGGTTTTTTTTTTAATCTAATTTAAGTCCTCTTTTTCGAACGGATTTGAACACAACAATTGAATTTTTGTTCCTAAAAGATGTCTTCTAAATTTATTTCTGTTTCCATATGAACTGTTCGTAATCGTTCTCTGTTGGTTTCTGTAACAATTTATAAGTTTCGAAGACAGTAGGTGATTGACCTAAAATCTCCTATCCCCGTATTGAGGCTACCATCTTAGGTGTAGCTTCCGGGGAAGAGTATTTCCAGAACAACATGTGAAAAGGGCATACAAGCTTTTTGCAAACAAACCTTTGTAAGCCCTTTTCTCACCAACCGAGGGTCGCCCAAGCAAACCAGCAATATCATCGGAAAGGGTAAAGTGCCCCCTACCCGGTGATGTTAAAGGTTTGCGTTGGTGTCATATGGGTGGCGAGAAAAGGGCATAAGAAGGTTTGTTTACAAAAAGCTTGTATGCCCTTTTCACATGTTGTTCTGGATTTCTCAGTCGCTGGATGCCAGTCAGACGCTGTTTGTGCCGCACCTCCGTGGTGGACAGACAGGTTGGCGAAGCACACCTGCTATTGCCGGATTGACAATATTGCCCACGGTACACCACCCCAATGAGGTGGATTACCGAGGTGAAGCAATCGCTTAAGTTGTGTGAGTAAAATCCCTGTACGATACAAGCAATTAGTTGCGTTGAATTTTTGGTTTACTAATACAACAATATTGTACGATCTGCTTCGTCTCTCTGTAGCTCATTGACACCACTCCTGTGTCCGTTAGGGTGGGTCAACTTTACAACACCCTGTTCCCCACTGCTCTTTCAATGCGTACTGAGGTGCAAAATTTTGCTTTTTCCTTTCTTTTTCGTTTATTTAGAAGGCTCAATCGCGTCAGCTTTATGGAGCCGATAATTCATTGTTCATAGTTATTTCTATGCTAGTAGGAGTTGGGCCGAATACCCACGGCTTACCCGAGGTTAGACGGGTACATTGTCGAGGTGCTTGAGGGTGAGGTTTCGTTGTAAACTGCACAAAATTTGAACGAATTTGGTTATAATCTCGATTTGCGGGAGCATTTTAAATGTTGCATGGGAGAATGTACGAGAAACGGAACGATCCTATTCATTTGCTTGCCAAAAATCCAAATATGGCTCAAATTTCATCAATTCTACACAAACTTCATTTGGAAGTTTCTTCTGGCTTCCCCCTTTAGGGTGTCTCCCGACTTCCGTAGATTTGTTTTTCCTATTTTCCTTCTGTATAACCTAACTATTTCTTTAAAAATTACTGTAAATTTCACAGAAAATCATTGATTTGACAATATTGCAAACATTTTACCATGTTTTTTTAAATACATAATTCAGATTTATTGACACATAGGTTAATGAAAAATACCACTTTGAAATTAATGACAACAATTGTTGCAATCCTTTGACCGTTTGACTGCTGATTTTGAATGTTATTGTACGTAATAAAATTGAAATTTATGCAGAAAAATCTACTTCTATGTTATAAAAAACTCGTCAAAGTAATCATATGCTATCAAGATTATTCTTGATATCTGTCACCTAAAATTTTCAACGTGGCAATTAAAAACGCAATTAATAATGATCAATTTTTCCCCGCATCAACGAAACCACCATGACACAGGCCTGCACAGATGTAGGACATTTTTCATTAAATGACCAGTTTTACGGATGTTCAGGATCCCTCCGATCCAAATTCATTCATGTTGCATCACAACAATGAATTACCGGAAATTAGCGGGGCTTTGGCATATTTTGTTTACGAATTAACCACTATTACGGATAATTTTAATCTTCCGGAGGACCACTCCGTTGCCAGCAAAGTGCGCAAACGGGCATTAAAAAAGCAGCGGAGCTTTAGAATATTTTTAACGAGTTGACCACTTTTACGGATATTCCGGATCTTCCGGAAATTTCTTCATAACTTCACAACAAGTAATTTAAAAATAAAACGGGGAGGTCTAGAATCATTTTTACGAATTGAACGCTTTTTCGGATGTTCCAGATCAAGAGGACGGTTCCGTAGCCACCAGCATCATGTTGGTCTCAGATTCAAATTCATTAATGTAGCATCACAATAAGTGATTTAAACAAATCGCTGAGGTATAGGATCTTTTTTATGAATTGACGAAATCTTCCGGAGGACCGTCGTTTCTAGAACCACTAGGTCTACAGTTGTATCTCAATCTTCAACCTTCAATTTTCATGATTTATAGGAATATCAATATAATCGAGAAAAAAATAATCACGAAGCTCTGTTATCAGTTTCAGCTCGAAGTTCGCCGATAGGTTTAGCACCTACCGGTGTGAAAGTCAAAAATAAATAAATTAACCATCGTAATGGCAACGACCGGTGCGAAATCTGGTTGCTTACTAAAATAGCAACGGCTAAAGTTGTCAAATTCGCGGCCTGAATAGGAACGCACCGATGCGGGTTGTCTAAGGGTGTCCAGAATACAAGAGTGAGCGAGCGAGATATGTTTTGCTGGATTTGATAAAGAATCACAAATAATTGTTTAAATTTTGTTAACACAGCTTATTGATTCCAAATTCGTCCTATGAGTTTAAATTTCTTCCAAACGCATTGAAACGCCTCGAAAATTCTTCATCATACGGATGAAGGCAGTAAAATTGGATTAGCTAGTGTTTAAGAACAATGTGTGTAAATATTCATATTATGCGTTCTTATAGATTTTGCTTTGTAGCATAGGAACAAATTATTAATTTGTGCACTGTGAAATCATTGATATTAGTGGTGTTTTCTACTCAATGGAGTAGAATTGTTCCCAACAGTATTTTTGGTAATGTTATTGCTTGCTTGCATGTTACAGAAGTCGCGATAGAATTAATTACAAAGTAGAATTAACGTTAGCTTATTTCGTTCGTAATTGGAGCTGCATTTTGAGAGTTCAGGACAAGTGGGTAAATATTATAGGACATTTCCGTCAATATACCATCATTTTAATATGGTGCGCTTTATTAAACATATACGATTGAAGCATTTGATACGATAACATCGGTGGAATATTTTTCTAATACCATATTGCTACATTCTAAATACACTAAACAATGGTTAATGTAGCCTCATATGTTTTCTTCTAGTCCGAGGGTTGATTTTATCATATCTCTATCGACGACTATCACCTATATGTGGTTTGACCACGCGAATCGTTACAATCTTGTTTCACAATTGCGTTACATAGCGCGTCGTAAACGTGTAAACGTAATGCGTAAACTCAGCTACACTTAAATGGCGGCTACTGGTATTTTTACGATTGTGTAAAGTTTTACGATGCGCTATGTGAATTCCCCTAATATCTCATCCATTGATAAAACATATGTTTTATCTACCTACCGTTCTATCTTGACAAATATTAGCCAAGCACTCGTAAATCTCCTAAGCTATAAATTTAAGTAATGCCTTTCTTCTAGTTCCACTCGTTCTCACATTCATCCACACCCCTACTGATTCAGAAAGGTCGGCCGAAACGCATGGGGCAACAACTTGTACAATGACGTCATCATTACGCGTGCTGGCGACGGTTTTGCGATGTAAATGGGAATGTCCTTGGGGCAGAACTCAGACAGGGCCTGTCGACATGTGCCGCATGGCGTGGTAAACTCCGTCTCCTGATAGGCTACCACGGCGATAGCTTCATACTCACGGAATCCTTCGCTAATTGCCTTGCATATGGCACTCCGTTCGGCACAGACACTTGGACCAAATGTGCCATTCTCGACATTACACCCGGTGATAATTTCGCCAGTCTTTGTTCTAAGTGCTGCCCCGACGGCAAAGTTACTGTACGGGCAATAGGCGTTGTTGCGTACCTTGATAGCGGCATTGATGAGCTCATGCACTTTTGCATCTGTTGCATGCAAACGTATAGAGGATGAAAGTGAAATTAGAAAAAAGGGTTAAAGCAAGGTCACGCCATGCATTTTAGATACTCACCAAGGGATGAAAATTCCACTATCGTTTCGCCATCGACCATCCCGTTGACGTTGTTGTTCATGGTTGCCTTGTGCGCTGTGATCTGGTTGAATAGCGGGTGCGAAATGAAAGATTTTTCTAACTCACTTTGCTTGACTAGAGCAGACGTAACAAGTACGAATTTGTAGAATAAATATTTATAAAAATAACCCTATCATAATGTTTTGCCTATGTGCTCTTGGTGATGTCACAGACGTGTGATGCAAATATTAGCGTTAGTTCAAGGTTATCTAGACGATTACAAAGTAGACCCACTTATCCAGGATTTGCACAGTAACAGATTTTGTCTAGTTTTACTTCTACATACTCGAGTTGCAATAATGCAAGTGGATTTCGCTATCGAATCGTAACTGTTCAACGAGCGACCAATCGGAGATTGTTGATGTTATTGGCAGGTGCGATGATTGTATGATAAGCATGCTTCTAAACACTACCACATCGGTTGAAGTCGCTCTAACGGTATCTCTTCACTTTTTTTTGCAGTGCTTTCTGCATCAATGTATGGGATTGATTTACTACCCAACGCGCTCTCTATGTGGACATACGAACTATATGACGAGCATACCGTGTGATACCGTTACATGGGTCACTTTTAAGGTTTCATTAAATTTTATTTAATTTACATCCCACTAAGAATACTTTATTTCTACCCATATAACCAATTTGGGTGATTACCGTGATTACTTAACCCTCTCCTTCCCATGGTAGGCGCACACTCCAAAAAATATGCACGTTCGATCTATGTGAAAACATAGGTAGCTTTCGTCCATACTACTTTTCAAGTTACATTTACGTTAATTCCATGTAGCCAACGTCATCATAATGTGTCTCCCATTTAATTTTGCGCTTATTGTGAAACACATCCACTTCATGTGTGAATCTTATGCTATGAACCATGCCTGAATTCTATTGATTTGCATTGTGTCTCGTTTGGAAACTATGTGCCTCACATGGTGATATCAATAGCATTGCGCATCACAGTTCAATGTTCTACAATATTCCACTTTCTCGACTTCCACTTTACCGACTCTAAAAATGAATCGACAAATATATAAACAAAGCGCCGCCAGAGGGCAGAGCTTACACATGTCTTTTTTAACGCGTCTGATTTGGGATTCGATCCTGGACTGTTTTTGGGGTGTGCTGCTGCCGTTGTCTTCGTTCGATCTCACTGCGCCACTTTTGTTCTCATATATGAGGCTGGTTGATAGGATGAAGCCACAACTCTTGTTTTCGATGTTTACCTTTCTGAGCAAACAATTCACATCGCATTAAAAAGCAAAACACTTTAAATCATTCTGTTTTGAACGGTAGTGTGATTCAATGTTCAATACACTTGAATACTTTAAAACATTGGAAACGTGTATAACACGTTGAACCATGGCGAAATACACTAAACAAGATCGACGGAAAAGAAATCAACAGAGAAAAAATTCCTGTGGCATCAACGAACATGAAATTCACGTAAATTTTTTCAAAATTTAATTTGACATTGACGCGAGGCACTTGGAAATGACTGCAGTGGAATGTTAAATAGGGTGCAGGTGGTCCACAACAACTTCAGTCCGTCTCGTGTTTGCCAATCTACCATAAAATAGTCAGCACTTATTTAAGCTTCTCCGTGTGTTTATTATTCTCGTCCATATATATTCTTGTGGATTCAACTGAGTAACTATAAAAAAACATGCTATTGATTTTAAACAAAAACTTTTTTCTCAAAACAACCACTCAAGGGGTTGCTAGTGTATGCTTTGTTAATTATTCACGAATTCTTGATCGCTGGGAATGCTTGTGAATATTTGAGGCGGTCAGGTTAAGTTTTTTTTCACATTTATATCGCTGTAAATCAACTGAAAAGTGTTGAGGGAATTTATATCTGTAACGTAACCAGTTCGCTTTTGTTTGCTAATCTGGTTAATGTTATACTTAATTATCTTAAAGATAAATCGTCCAGCCCAAACCTTTGTAGGGGTAAGCGGTGAGATTATCATCATCATCAACAACCTTGTAGGAACTAATAAGAATATCTGTGAGAAAATTTCGGGTTCTATATGGTTTTATATGCAGCTGACTATCCTCTGAACGTTTCACTGGGTTTTTCGTGCGAAAGCTCAAAAAATTTCGAAGAAGTTCCGAACTGAAGGAGCTGAAGCAAATTGGAAAAATTAGAAGAGTCTGTGCCTACACGGTTAGAAAAAAATGTTTATTGGTTGTTTTATCTTTTATTCCAAATGTTATGAAATTGCTGGCCAAGAGTTGTTTAGTGTTGAGTACAACATCTACATCCCTTCTCGAGATGTGGAGATAGAAGGCGTGGTCTCCGACGCGAGTCTGTCTGTCGAGGACTTGAAACGTGCCTCGGGTTGTTTTAAAAACTACAAGGGACAGCCCAATGGGGTTGTACGCAATGATGACGTAGGACTACGTGGTATTATATAATAAATATTTTTGTTAACTGCAGCAGGAGCTTGTGTTTTGTGTAGGAATAGGAATTTTAGCGGGGTTTTCTCTGTTTATTCTCTTTAGTATGACTATGATTGCCCTCAGATTATTAACCAAGGCGCGTACAACCCAGGCGTTTTTTGTTGATTCTCTTGTATTTCGACTGGAATATCACTGGAAACGCACTACTTACCTGGAACTACCCCAACACAACAAATGAATGCAAATGATTGTCGGTACAGGATGAGTAGTGGTAGATCTCATTCCAGTAACGACCCACTTAGGTTAAATCTAACAACCTTAAACTGAAAAAATCATCATTCGATCACATCCCTACCACCTTTCAAATCCCGACAAGAAAGTTAATCAAAAGCCCCTGAAAAGGGCCGGTTTTTTGTCAGAGTCGATGATGCTAATTTACCTCCGAAACCGTACAGAGTGCGTCCCTATCGCTTCAGAGCGTAAACGACATCCATTGCGGTGACGGTCTTCCTCTTAGCGTGTTTCTGTGTGTGTAACAGCGTCTCGAATAACGTTCTCCAAAAACACCTTCATCCGTCGTTATCGTTATCAGAAATCGACTGAACTGCTGATCCGCAAGTTGCCTTTCCAGCGTCTGGTCCGTGAAATTGCCCAGGACTTCAAGACCGATCTGCGCTTCCAGAGCTAAACTGTTACACACTTAATTTTTTTCGCCGAGATTCCAACAGCCGAGTAGTTCTGCAATTTATTTTGCTGAGGTTCAGTAAAACAATTGCCGAGACTCAGCTAACAAATATCATTTTGCTGAGATATCAGCTAACAAACAGATATTTTGCAGATATATCAGCAAAAGTAAATGCCGAGGTAATCGGCTGTTGGAGATTTTACCGAGCTAGATTAAGTGTGTATGGCTCTACAGGAAGCTAGCGAGGCTTATCTGGTCGGTCTGTTCGAAGATACCAACCTGTGTGCCATCCACGCCAAGCGTGTCACAATCATGCCAAAGGACATCCAGCTGGCTCGTCGTATCCGTGGTGAACGCGCTTAATTTCCTCGTCGAAAATCTTACAAAACCGGCCCTTTTCAGGATCACTACAAAGATTCCATAAGAGAGTTATTTAAGTGAACGTTTAAAATTCAGATATAGATCGGCTAAGTTTGTTCTATGGATTCTATGCAATCAGTAACGGAGCAAAACTATTCCGTGTACGGGTTAAAAAAACATGCTCTCAAAAATGTACGTTCAATTTGTTCATGCGTTCGCTTTCTGACGCGGGGTTGGTTTCGAGATTTTGAAAACAAACATACAGCCTGGACCCATACATCCCATGAGTCGGGCTAGCAAATCATCGCGGACTGGCACTGCTCACCATACACGGTACGGTACATGGGTCGAGCCAGAGACGATGTTTAATAAGAGACGCGAAGACTGAAGCCAAAATTTTAAATGTTCCAATCGAAGCGTCAAACGCGGTTCCAATCGAGCAATGTACACTCAACACATGCCAAGCGCACGGCCATGGATTATCACCAACAACCAAGTAACAAAACGGCCCTTTTCAGGGCCACCAAGTTCATTTAAGAAAAGAGTTTAAGAGTAGAATGTTTAAAGAACTACAAAAATAGTTTTCACCATTAAGTCAAGGCTATTTTTTTCTCTTTGATGGCGCTGTTCCATTGATAGTAAGTTAGAAATTTGGAAAAGTGGATTGAACGCTTTGGATGCATATTATGGTAAAAAAAAAGTCAAAGGAAATCATTCATTATCGTTCAGTTTTTTCTTCGAATTTTTTGTAAAATTGTATTTTCTTGCAGAATCCCTCCCCTTGGCTAGTTTTTTAACCTGGACGTTGGTGGGCGGGCCTAATCTTATGCTTCATAGTGGAGCGTTGGAGACGGTTGGTTTAGGTCATGCATCGTTGGCTCATGCCGTGACAGAATAGCGTCATGAGCATGCGATGAGGACTACTGAGCTTCCCCTCTCTGATGAACCATTGCATAAGAGAACCAAAGTTCTAGCCTGAAGTGATAGTATCACACTTGTTACTCCTTTATTTGAAAGCCGCGTTGTAGTACGCTTACGTATAGGCACTGATGTTGGGTGCGATACTGGCGGGTTTTGCCGCAAATCACTCTTATTTTATTTATTTTTACGCAGATAGATTTATTTGGGTTTGCAAGGGAATTATACTATTGAAATATTTCAGAAAGTGCACAACAGTGCTCCTTCTACTTGCGTGACAAGCTTTCGTAGTTGAAGCATATACCCTATGTAATTTAAAAATCAGCTAGGAAACTAACTTCAAAGTGAAGCATTTTAGTCACTTGAAGGTGTCACCTGGGACGAACTAATATATATTAAATATAGGTCAAAGTCAAAAACAACTTGAAACAGGTTAAATTTTAGATTACATTCACAAGTGCAGGTACTTAATAAAGCATGGTAGGTAGATTAGAAATTTCAATTATTTATTAAATTAGACTGGAGATATCATAATCATCAAATGAACTTAAATAAGAAAATTTAGACAGCCTAGTAGCATTTAGTGGATTAACAGAAGAGTTAGGATGCGGAGGGTCCGCTTAAGGAGGCAACTAGCCCTTAAAGCAACTGGCAACTACCCTTTTATGTATTGTCTGTTTATTTTGATTATGGCTTTAAAATATCAATTCGGTATATATGTGAAAGGATGAATCAGTGGGAGATGGATTTTCGGTTTCTTTACATTTAGCATCACTATGTGTCATTTCCTCAAAACCCCCCAATAATAAACCCCCCCTTGCAGAATATGTTAAAAGGGAGGGAATTTTTATGTATTTTTTATGCAGAATATGCAAAATGGGAGGGACTTCAAATGTTATTCCCCTATGTGATATATTTTTTGAGTGTATCCCCTGTTTCCAAGTTTGGTTACAAGATTACAACCAATGTGGTCGTTGATGTGAAATTGCATGAAATATTACGCAATTCCATCCTCTCTATTCGCACGCGTCCGAGGATCGGAGGCGAATGCCACTTCGACTTGTTTCGTCTTCTTACTACTCTCTGACGACTGTGCTGGGGAAGCAGCATATGCATGTACGTAATTGGTGGATTTGTTAATTATTTCGACGCTTTTGGACAATGCTTGACATTTACTACTTTTTCAATAGTTTCTTGTTGAACATTAACAGTCAAATGCATTGATATCGATGCGTAAGCGTAGCCCTGATCGATTGGTGATAAAATTATTGAAAGTGGTTCAGGGGCAGCTGAGTTATTAACGTTCAAAATCTTTCATAATTTGGTTACATGTTTCATTTTCAGTTTTCACAAAGTGTACCCCTATATAAAAATCAAAGACTTAGTCCTACGTAAAAAAAAAGGTTGTGTACCTCGGACTAACACTAGACAGCAAGCTCCATTTAATACTCCGTTCACATTACAGCGTATATCACGTGATATACGCTGTCTTGCAATGAGCACTCATACATCTAGTTTTTACTGGAAATCCTATGTATGAGTGCTCATTGCAAGCCAGCCTATATTACGTGATATAGGCTGTAATGTAAACGGGGTATAAGCTCTTATCATGTAACATTAAATGCGGCAAAGTGGCAACAAATGTAATGCCCTCAAAACCATTCCTAACTTCTCGCAATGGTCAATTAAAAATTGATTTAGTTGTTTTAGAATTGACGAGCACAATTTGCGAGAATCATGCTTAACTATACACGGCGAATGAGAACGACCCAAATTTGAGTTTAGTTCACTCATAATCGCCAAAAGTGCAGGAACTCAGCGATGAGTAAAATTTGTCTCATGTTTTTCTCGGCTTACTGTTTTTCAAGATGGGGCTGAGATGCTGTTATGGGCAGAAATACTGTTCGGCTATGGCATTCAGTCGAATAATTGAGTGCCCCGCCATGGCCAGTGGTGGTCAATTTCTCTTCAAGCCATCATCGAGGCAAAAAAAAACGTGAGAATTCCATTAGAACAACTTAAGAACTTTAGCCACAAGAAGTCGGTATGAATTTCGCAAATGCGTTATGAATAATAATACCATTACAAAAAATAATAAAGCGGAGCAGACTGGATCCGATCCATTGACGTTGAGAATACGGGTTTTATATCTGGACCACCTGTGTCATTATCAAATGTTACGCCTGATATTTAAGAGGCGGTATCCTCATCGCTCATATGAAAAATAGATGGCGTAGCTATCAATGAGATTCCCATCCCTAAAAACGATTATCAGCCGTTAAATTTTAGTTCAGTGCATTTCACGATCTGTCAGTGGCTAGTGCAACATTTTAACGTCAGATTCCTTCGTGCTGGTTTTGGAACTCGGAAAGCGACAGACCGAAAACGTAAGTTGCTTTGGAAATTGGAAATTTATATTGTTTTAAGCTTAATTTCTCCCATCTTTCATTAGTTAAAAGTATCTTACGATGGCTTCTCTAGCAAACAAGGGTTCCTCTCTGGTGTCGAGTAAGTATCGCAGCGCCATTTTTTTCAAACTACAATATCACCTCACCCTCTCCAATGGCCACTGATTGTGTGGTTACATAATTTACTGTAATAAATACTTTTGCTTCCAGCGCTGCTGAACCAGGCTCGGCCAAAGTTCAACGTATTCATGAAGTACGCCAAAGTTGAGCTGACGCCACCCACACCAGGAGACATCCCAGCCATCCGCGACGGAATCGCTCGCATTGTTTCGGGAGCCCGCACCGGAGCCTGGAAGAACCTGACTGTGAAGGAAGCCTGGTTGAACACTTTGGTCACCGCCGAAGTTTGCTTCTGGTTCTACGTCGGCGAATGCATTGGCAAGCGCCACCTGGTTGGTTATGAAGTCTAAATCGATAAAAACCTCCGGTGAATACCATCTACAAGCTAGGTAGGGTCGAATCAGTTAAAAACCCGAAAGGAAGTGATGGATCTTGTAAGAAGAAAACATTTCGTTCGAGTCGATAAATAATTACTACTGTAAAAACAAAGCAAGAAGCATTTTTATTGAATCGTTTTATAAAGCGCAAAGGTTTGTTGGAACTGGTTTTGATAGATGTTCCAATCGATAACGTTATGTTCTTGTTCGAGGATAGACCAATTCGGAGAGGGTTTGTCTGTGGCGAGCCAATTAAAATCGTCCAATTCATTCCAGTTGTTTACAACGGGATCCAAGCCGGAGTGGGTGAGGTCGTCTTCCAGTTCATCATAGCCATTGTTGTACTCGGCCACATGAATTTGTTTGCAGTCTTCGATGATAGCTCGGGATGTCACTTTTAGGTATAAATCACAATTTTTCGACCGATGACAACGAAGTTGCTGACAAGCGACAACGAATTTGCAATTTGTGCAATCATCTAGGAATATTGATCTTGAAGTTGGTCCACAGATGACTAGACAATTCTTTAGTTTAGAGAATTGCAGCGAGCCAGAATGCCCTTCCAATCTCACGATGCAATTTGTCAAATCCGTCGCTGTTACCGTCTGGTCATCAATTGTCTTACGTGGAAGTACAATAAGCTCGTTCTTTCTGCCGGAAAATGTCCATTTCATTCGATCACCTTCGGCGTCCGAGCTTGCCCCTGGTCCTATCTTATCAATGGTATCCTTTCCATCATGGTTGGTTTTGACTATCTTCTTACTTTTGAAACCGAACTTTTTCTTAGGGATCAGTTCGTTTTTCAGATTATCCAATTTTTTGCCAAGTTCGTTGATTGTATTTTGGCAAATTTTGATCTTGTACTCGCTGAGGAAGAACGTCGAAGTCGACAGATAGCGTTGCAAGTCGTAAATTTCGTTCTGAACCTCAGCGAAAATCTGGGCTTTCGAGTCGCTATTTGACACCGTGTCCAGACTGTCCCTGATAAGTTTGACCTTTTGCTCGAAGGATGCCTCAAAATACTGGATAGCTTCGGTTTCGTCGGCATCTTTCTGACGTTCGAGTTTCGCTGCCTGAATTTGTATTTCGCGTTCCTTGTGACGACGGTTGAGAATTTCGGTAATTTTTTCCTTTCCACTGAAACCACTGCTGTGGTCGCTATGGTCTACAATTTCTGCCATGATGATGAGAATGGTGCACACAGTAGTGTTTATATATCTGCTTACAATAAATCGAATTGCCTTTACTCGTTCTTCTTCTTTAGATAGATTGGTTCACTGGATTCGCTTGCTTCCTTCAACTTCTTCATAAACTGCGCTTTCTTGCTGGTATCTTCGACTGTTCCACCGTGATGCTGCCGCTTAATTAGTTCTAGTTTCTCCTTGCTTGGTGTGGTTATCTCGGACAGTACATAACCCGCGCCACCAAACACTGCTAGATATACTACGGATTTGATGTAAACATTCATGGTTTGGATTCACCAGCAACACTCTTTGCACGTTCCTGGGACCAAATTTGTTCGTCGTGGGTCCTAATCGACGTGTCTCCGCCGAGGAACTCGCCCACCTGGTAGTAGCTTTCCAAAATTACTGGATAATTTTCCTTTACGTAATGTCGGAGATCTACCCGTTTGAATTGATTACATGAAAGAAAGGCAAAACGCGGATCAGATTAGAAAAAAGCGAAATCTACGGACGGAGGGACAGCAAAAATTTTCCAATGTCTTCCCGAACAATCTGTCCTCTAACAACATGACAAACAAACACTTTTGCAAGAAAATGTTGCTCAATCTTACCTCTGCTTGTGTTGAGTCGGTACCAGCCTGCGTATGTGACACCAAAGGCGACCGCTTCGACTGCAATCAGTATTTTAGCCGTATTTTTGATCACTCTCTTGTAACCGGGTCGGGAGCTTTTATGAAGCATAATTATCTAACTAGCAGACCAGGAAGCATTTCCAGGAGTAAAACTAATTTTGACCCTCGCAGTGACAACACAGGTTTCAGTTTTTATTGTTTTGACCGAGAAACGTAACTAGGGAACCGACCGGGTGTGTTTGATCCAAACCAAACCGAGGCAGCAACGGGACAACTTTTTCCAATGAATGACGATGATTCACAAAACGTCAAGTGCGTGGGAGTGTGTGTGGAAATTGATGTGGAGCGGCACGAATACCTCTATAAAAGTTAAAAACCTAATATGGACCAACAGGTCTGTGCCATAAAAAGGGAGAAAAGTTAAAAATGATAGATAAATGTTTTGTGTCAGGCAAGTAGCCTCGTAACTTCATAACCAGAGGGACGCAATAGACTGGTCGATAACCCGAATGGTTAAATTATTCCACAAATAATCTGTATGATACCCTCTACACTGCCACTCATCGCAAGTCGGTCCCATTTGCAGTTTTTTTTTATCAAAACTAAGATTTTCAATATGAGTTTTAGCTACTTCTTCTTCTTCTTCTTCTTCGCATTTCAAGCTTATTGCATATCGCATATTAGCTTATTGCGTGCTCTCAACTTAGTGTTCTAGATGCACTTCCATAGTTATTAATTGAGAGCTTTCGATGCCTGTACCATTTTTGCATTGATATGATTGTGTGGCAAGTCCAATCATACTTCTATGCCCAGAGAAGTCGAGAAATTTTCCAACCCGAAAAATTCCTAGACCGAACCGGGAATCGAACCCAGCCACCTCCAGCATGGTATTGCTTTGTAGCTGCGCCTTTACCGACTGAGCTAAGGGAGGCCCCAGTTTTAGCTAATCACCCATAAAATTCGACACATTTTTATTGGCAAATTTCCATGTAAAATTTAATTAAATAAAAATGTAAGAATCCACTCAGAAGTACACATGAAATTTATGAGTCAAATCAATAGTATGTGTGGTTACACATGATTTTTATAAGTACACATAAAAAGTATGTGTCGTCGATCATTTGTTTATCACATTGCTAAAATTCATTTTGTGGGACACATAAAAATAATCATTGAATTTTTATTAGCGTATATATTTGCATGTTTTTCTTACATTACTTCTCATAGATACTACACTTTGTTCTGGAAAAGTTTGGAAAAACAGTCAAGCGGGTTGTCTTATTACAAAAGAAGCAATAGAACGAAACGTGTAAAACGTCGTTTAATTTTTTTATTGTATATTTTATGCTGAAGCTCGGATTGATGGATTGGAGCGTTTCAGATGGAAGATACCCTCCAGTGGACATTTTGCAAAAAAAAATCGTGACTAATTAATTATATGATTTGAGTAGTAGCTATACTGAAGATCCTAGAGATGTTGTCCCTTCAGTGGTAGGAAAATCATTTTTGCAGTATGGAGAATATCAGAAAATCCACGATTTGTGACTAAACATGCTTTCACAGAAGAAACAAATAAACGAGTGTTTGCCTTATCACCATAGTAATGTACTCGTGCAATTTGTGTGCATCTAAAACTGCTCATAAAGTCGATAATGAATAAAAACTGAACATTTTCATGCATTTCCAAATGGTTTCCTACCATTCCCATACATTCGAAAGTGACTGGCCCTCTGGATGTGGATGATGTCAAAAACAACAAAACATGATTAATTGGCGTCTTGCAGTGAAACTTTTGCGAGCTTTTGCCACCTACATTTCGAAGTGAGAATTGTTATATGGATGATTATTGATGAATTTACGCGAAACTACACCAGTGCATGCGACACCTAGGCTTGAAATACAAAACCACAAAAGTGATGTACTAAAAAATATTCCATACCATTTGGCAGTTAGCAAAACGTTATATCATTTTCACATCATTTCCATCTGCTTGTCGACCGTCACGCAAAATTCTCCAAAGGAAACAGGTGGTTTTTGCGGAAAATCACTTCATAAATCAAAACTAATCTTTTCTCGGGGAAGCTGTTGCTTAAATCGCGTTTGATTGATAACTAACTGCTATTCTTCCAGTGATGTTCTGTGATGTTTTCATGGCAAATCATTCATAACAATTTTACACTCAAAGGGAAAGGTTACCTCCTGCGCAGCTGCATTGTTCGGAAATGGTGAAAATGCGTGATTGCCACAAATCTGTTCGCTGATGACACATTCATTTCCGTTAATGGAAGAAGTCTTCGTGTTATTTGAAGCAGACTGCAGAAAAGTTTAGATATTTTCACTTCTTATTTACAAAACTGGAAGATTTCTACCAACGCTTCCAAAACTTAACTTATAATATTTCCACATAAGCCTAGAGCTTCCTTTTTGAAACCTAGTAGTTGTCACATAGTCACTATGAACGGAGTTCCAATTTTTTGGTCAGGTCAAGTGAAATATCTTGGATTAGTACTTGACCAAAAATTAACTTTTAAAGATCACATTGAGGGCATTCAAGCCAAATGTAACAAATATATAAACTGTTTGTATCCGCTTATAAACAAGAAATCGACGAAATGGTGACGAATAAACTTCTAATATTTAAACAAGTTTTTAGACCGGCCATGCTTTATGCTGTGCCAATATAGTCTAGTTGTTCCACTACCATGAAAAAAAAAACACTTCAAATGATTTAGGACAAAGTTCTGAAGATGATTTTGAAGTTGCCTCCCTGGTACAGTACTACTATAGAGGTAGCTCTAAGACAAGTAGGTCCCGAAGAAACGTGCTCAACTTTTTGGCTCAGCTCTGGTACTATCTTCGGTCCCAAGCTATCGATTCACCCCTCGAAACATAGGAAAATCCACTAACCCCTCATTTTATCTGTCAAACTTTTATAGCATGAGCATGAGCATGAGCATGATTGACCACTCACGGTTGCTACTCTGCAATTGCAGACCAGCTATAAGTACATAGAGAACCAATAGACGATGCTTGGGACTAGCAATCATCCTCAATTGTTAAAAACTGTCGATCTCAAACTAAGCAATACCAGCGCCGGCCGCGCCCGAACACAGGTCAAGAAAGGAAGGGGTAGGAATGTGTTGACGTGACACTCGCTTTGATGGAACACCTCTGCACATCCACGAGGAATCACTGGGATATTGGGTAATAGGGTTGGGTTTGCAGCAGGTTCGTTTTGGTAAACGATTAGCTGTATTGATGTCCTAACAATCATATAACGCGAAGGAGTTTGGGATTGAACCCACGGTCTTCTGCTCAGTAAGCAAAAACATTTGCCACTAGGCAGACGAGCTCCTTTTTAATCATCGAGTTGCTGTTATTACCATGTAGTCATGTTAACAAATAAAACGATTGACGAATCTTGAATGTGGATGGGCTTGAGATTAGGCTCATGATGTTCTGCTCAGTAAGCAAAACCGGTTGCTCTAAGGCCACCGAGCCCCTCATATCACATTATAGCGTTACTCAAGTTTTTATAACTATTCTTACCCGCCACCGACAACAATGAAAAGTTTTACAAAATACACGATAAACAAGAGATCTTACCATGCATTTTTAATATGAAAGGACCTGGGACCGCGTTTTTCTGCTCAGTAAGCAAGCCACTGCATCCGACGATCTTTTAAATCCTAAAACTAAAAGCTACGAAAGAGTACTTAGGCCTTCATTAAGTTCTACTTTCACGCGACGTTAAATGTTTCGATTTTCTCTTTACGCATGGTTCAGGCAATCATAACAAGCTATAACCGACGTGACGATTGTTTAAGACCTGGTTAAACAAGCTATTCAAGTGAAATTACGTTCTCGACTTTCACTTGGCATGTAATGAACAACAGAAATACGCGATAATTCATATTTTTAGCGGTTGATGGTTAATTTTAAATATACTAACGGTACTGCCTACGGCGACTACGACGGCGATTACGACAGCGACTACGACAACGACAACAGCGAATTTGTAACTTGCCATTTGTCTAGGATAAACACCTCCACTGGTTCTTCATGTCCGCTATCTGTCACTGTTTGCAAAAATATCTAATAGCAATTACCTTTGTTGTAATACTTCCTGCATTGCCATGGTCATCTGGGAGGAGGGTCGCATCTAATGCTTTCCCCTTGAAGTTCTGCTGTTAATTTCTTGTTTAAAATTTGATTTAAGTTCATCTGTCGGTCGTTGAACTAACGATTATTGTTTATTTGTTTTGTTTAACACATTTTAGGTCATTCGTGACTAGCCCGAGGTGACATTTGAGCTAAAATCTTTCAGTGTGAGAAGCATGGATGCTAACCATTTACGACAGGCCCGTATTCAGTTAAACATTATGAATGCAAAATCAGTAATCAAATTGATTTCATTGAAAGCATAATTCGTTTTCCGTTTGATTCAACAGTGTAAAATTTTGCTCTCATTTTTGCTGTGTTAACCGTTAAGTCAACCAAAATAAGATCAAATGGAGTATTCAAAATAAGTTACATCATAACAGCAAATTCTGATTTCAATTTGATCTCTAACTTTGCTCGGGTAATCGCCCTTTTTGCAATATAAGGCTGATATACGACTGATATACGACTGATATAAAGTTCGGAATCCCTATATATTAGAAAGCCTCCTTAATAAAGCTAAATAATAATAATAATCCCTATATTTCCGGAGAACTTAAGGATTTGGGCGTAATTGCTTTAGTAAACAAACACGCCAACGCTGATTTCTCGCGAATAAAAACACAATCTCGCGAACAAACCATACCAAATGATAAAAGAATTATTCATCTACCTGTTTGTGTTGTTAGTTTTATAGAATGAGCTTTAATTCACGAGAAATCGTCAAATGACGTGAATTTCAAAAGTAATTACGCCCTAATCTCGAAGTTCTCCGGATTTACCTTATATAGCAAAAATGGCGATTATAGGGTAGTTCGCGGGCTTGGTGGTTACTTCTATAGTATAAGACATGTAGTTATATAGATCTTCAAATATAAACTCATGAATGTTTTGGATAGACTATGTCACGTCAGCATGTTACTTAGGAAAATAACGCTAAATTTGTCCGACTTCAAATCTTTATAAAGACATTTTTGTATTTCAAAACAGTGTACGGTCAAGGTAGTCTTAGAAACTCACTATTAATAACTGTGGATGAGTTCAAAAGCACCATCCTGCTGGCTAAAATTGCAACCGGGACGCAACTTAAGCCATGACGAAGAATAACTACTACTTTAATTTAAGTGTGATAAATTCGGATACAGAAAAAGCATTCATACAAAAAGCAAAACGAGTCATTTTAATTACGGCGTAATGTGACATTGATTGGTGTAGGCTGTAAATGCAATAAAATGTAGCTTAGGAGTTAAACTCAGTTTACGGTATGGCTTAAAAACAAAGAACACAACATTAAACGGTAAGGTAAATGACCGAAATGACAAAGATGATCAAATATACTATAAAGGCCAGCCGATCGATAAGTGCTGCTAAACGGCACCAGTCATTCTGCTTTGTGTTCACGGGTACATCGTCACCTGCTGCCTCCTTGTCTTCGTCCGACGGTAGATTTCCGCTGCTGCTCACACCAAGCACTGATCCAAGACAACCGTCCAGTTGACTCTTCAGTAGCCTTGGTACGGAATGGCATTGTCTACTGCGGGTGATTCTCAGTACAATAACCGATAGAATGGTACTGATTGTTACCAGGTAGAACGTTGTGCTGTAGAAGATCACTATATGTTTTGGAAAATATTGGTTATTTCGATTTTTAAAGAAAGCAATTATCGTTTACCAATAAGTGGGGAAGATCCCGACATAGCTGGCAATTGTTGGGCAAAGTAGATGAGGAAAACTGTCACAATCAGAACGATAATTCCGTTGAGGACAATCTTTTCACCACATTGCGGTGGAAGCCAGAACACGGATAGGGCTAGAAGCATGATTACGAAGGCTGGGCTTACAACAATGGCTTTGTGAGTAGTAGAATGTCGTTGGAGAGTAACATTGTATTGAATATCGATGTACGGTTCTGTACAACATTTATAGTAAGCAATGTGGCGGTCGGTGGTAACCTTTCGAATACTCCATTCATTATTCGGTACTTCGATGTCAATCTGTAAAGGAGTGAATTTTATAGGCATATAAGACAAAAATAAGTTTGTTCGCATACCACCGGTTCTTCCTTGTTGGTTAAATTGAGCTGGAACCCGTCGTATGTCCAGGAACCTATTTTCATGAAGCATGTTTGATGATCAAACGGCCAATGTCGCAGATTGAGCTCGCAGAAACTGTGGAAATCGGTTGGGGGTACCCATAATACTTTACCAGTATTGTAGATGATTGCGTTAGTTTGACCGTAGTGCAAATTATCGGAACCCCGGGCATTATTATACAGGACCACGTCTGGTTTCCATATACTGTCAGGATTGATGCGGAAGTTAGTCAACTGGCCATATTCGTCTGGGCTCCACTTGAGTTTATCGTCGGTCCATTCCTGAAATAATAATAGTGGTTTTAAAACACATAAGCAGCTGGTAAGATGATAAATAGTAAAACGCTCGTCTAAATGTAACAATTTGCTTTATTTCCAGATAGAGTTCACTGTAATTTTATAATGGAAAATCAGTGTAAGTAACTAGCCGCCATAACACTGTAAATGAATACGTAAACGACAAAACAGATTCGGTCCAGTATTACGGCAAACTGAATCCAATCTCGCTGGAGTCCGAGCTGAGCCTGCGAAGCCTCGTCCGCTGATGAACAAGATTCTCCTGCCAAGGAATCGTTTTTCATTTCTCCAATCCAATCCTCTTCATCGGTCATTCCAATCTGCGTGGGATAATTTACGAATCAGTTATTCATTGTGCAATGTTACTGAGGTCCAGCAATCGTATTCATGAAATCTCGATTACTTTTTCGAAGGGACGTATCAGCTTTTGTAAACAATGCATTTGATCGTTAATTTGGCGTTACTGGTAGCTCGCCTACGCATACTAACACTACCATCAGATAGGAGAAACTTTACCCTACCGGGTAGTGGTGTTAGTATGCGTGGACGAGCTACCAGTAACGCCAAATCGACGATCAAATGCATTGTTTACAAAAGCTTATTCGTCCCTTCGAAAAAGTAATCGAGAAATCAGTTTAGTTTTCTTCGATGGAAAGACTTTCGATCGATTGGCGCAGAGCGAAAATAAATACCGCCTTTCCTACCTTCGCATTGTTTCCTGTCCAAGCAAACACGCCCACGCCAGGCAGTGAAATAAGCCCTTTAATGTACGGATGAACTGGCCTACTATGTTTAGTTTTCACCATATTGACCACCATAACAGACAGCACCAGTGAAAAAGCGGTGAGATATAAACTGTTGCTGAAAAATAGAACTGAAAATTTGAAAAATAGCAGCATAGCTTGAAATATATTATGCTTTTGCCGACTTTTACCTACTAACGGTGTCCTAGTGGCCAGAAGGGGCAAATGGATCGTGAAGTATAGAAGAAATGCACATACGATGCCCGCATTGATGCAATTTAAAAGTACTTTCTCGCTGGCATTCGGAGGAAGCCAAAATGTGGCTAAAGTCATGAGAATGAGCACAATGGCTGGTGCGATGATCGTGCTTTGGAATATTTGTACCTTTCGCTGAACTGTGATTCCGTATTGAATTCCGTTGAATTGTTCGGAAGTCACTTCCATTGGATTTTTATATTTTTCCACTGATGTACTAACAATTTGCCACATACTGCTTCCTTGAGTGAGCCGTTCCTGAAAAAGTTTATCGTTGATTGTCGAACATTTGTTTGTCATTGGATCATTAGATATTATTACCCACTCCGCTGGTAGCGTCTGAATTTGGACTGCATCATCTTCATCGGCTACCATCTTTCCCAGTACTATCGAGCAATGGTGCGTATCGTACGGCCAGCTTCTGAAGTTCATCTCACAGAATGATTTGAAATTCAAGCGCTCTGTGACGATGTTCATCCCATCGTTGCCCACCCGTACGTTACTTGTTCCAACAAACGATGAACCGGACGACTCCAATGTTACAGAATGCAAGTGCAGGTCTGCATCCCATAGATAATAGCTCGGAAGCACAATTGATTGTATGCCTCCATAGTCCGAGGCATTCCATTTCAAACGCAGATCCTTCCAACTCTGTAAAATTTGAAATAGGTTAGCTTTGACGGCAGCTTTTCAGTTTTTTTGTTTCTCAGTGAAAGTCATGCCATTCGTGCTGTATTTTGATTCCATGCGCATCATGCTCAATCATTTTGATTTTTTTTTATGGCACTCACTTGATTCTGTGGCATGGGTCAACAATACGTTTGTGTTGATGGCTGTTCAAACGTTATTAAATGCGTTGATCACACATGAATTTCACTAAATTTCCGGAAATTTGTTTGGGAGGTCTCAAGTAACTTAGGATTCAATCTTTAAATTTGTCGAACCACGTAACGGAATCCTTTTATGAAGAGCTTTGAGTGGTGTTGAGTACTTGGCACTGATGAAGTCTACAAGTAGTAGACGAAATACGCGTATCTGTCAAAAGATAAACAATTCTAACGGAATTAAAAGAAAATAAACCAACACACTCAAAGCTCTTCATAACTTAGGATTGTCCACGGAAAAATGCACACACATAAACAGCTGTTTTTATCATTATACCAAATGACTTGACATTTTAAGTGAAGACTTTATGGTCTGAAAGAGGCGATCCATTAAGGGGGGAAGTACAATTAGAATTTTTTTTTTCGAAAAAATTTTTGTTGGCTTAATTTACTCTATATGTATCTGGGAATGAGCCTTTAAAAGCATAAAGCCGTCCGGAACTTATTTAAAAAGTTATACGCAATTCAGTGAGTGCATGTCAAATGGCTGAACATGTCAAAGTTGAACTTTAAATGCTTCTACTGAAAAGTAGTGTTTTCAAAATCGCCGTGCAATGTACAGGTCAGAGTTTTCATTATAATCGATTCAGGTTTTCTGTTTTATGTTCATAATTAAATTCTCCACAACATGAATAGAAAGATTTTTTAGATTTGTTTGTTATAACATATTTTTTTTTATAAACAAAGTAGAAAAAAATAGGGTTTTTTAAATTTTTTTTTTTCAACTTCAATTTTTTTTGTGAAAAAAACATTATTTTTACATACGAATTAATTCATGTTGTGCGCTGTGCCTTCAAATTTAATGTCCTGTTTTTTTTTTTGTTTCAGACGTGATCATGGACGTAGGGACTGCACGGCGCGAAGTGCTGCTTTAAAAAATTGACTTCACATTATTTATAATAATTGGGCTAAATTGCAAAATTTAAAAAAAATTTCAATGATAATTAATCTTCATTAAATCCTTAATAACATACATAAAGAATCGCTAACATTCATTTATTTCCCTACTCGCAATCCACTCTCAAAGATAGGCCTCATTTTAGGCCTTCTAATTGTACTTCCCCCCTTAAGTGTATGCCACGCTTTAAGGGGGTAGGAGGGATTTCTGAAATCTGCGACAAACAATGTATAAGGTATAGGAAAAACATGCCGAAAGAGGGAGGATGTGGATGGAATTTCACGTGATCTACTAAGGTGCTGTTCATTAACTACTTAGACCGTTTTTTTTTTTGGGATTCTTGACCCACCAGACAATTAACCATACAATTTTGTTTTAATTTGCAATGCATTTGCGTGTATTTTTTTCCTTATGCATTAGGAAACAGATTAAAAGGATGAACTCCTGCCCTAAGTAAAAAAAAACGGAAGCAGCCAGTACAGAAACAACAGGAAGAGGAAAACAAACAACGGATTGAAGAAGAAACCAGTGCCAGTCGAACGTTGGTGTAGTGAATGAAGGTGCGTCGTCAATGGACAACGATAAAGATACAACAGAGGAAGCGGTTGAAGTGCTGAAAGAAGAGATAGTGGAGATGGATGTGACTTCCCGAGATGACGACAAGAACAATGGGGAGGTAGCAAGTGCTGCTGGGAAACAGCAGCTGCCTGTTTTCAAACATTGGACGACGCATATTACTAATACATCTTCGGGATAGTGGACTATACCTAGAAGAAGCGGATAAAAGACGAAGACGAGGCCAAGCGGCTGAAGGAGAAATAATTGGAAGAAGCAAGAGAGTTGAGGACATGGCTGAAAGCGGAAGCTAAGCTCAAGTCGCCTGCCAGGAAGAGTAAGAAGAACTCATGAACCTTTTCCCTTGTGAATATGTATTGTTATTTAAAAAAAATATATACTGGTTTTTGGCTCAGTGGAGTCTTTTGGACATTTGAGTCTAACTATGAACTACTTGAAAAAAAAAGAATCGGACGATGACGAAGAACCTGTTTACAGAACAGATTCAAAGCACCGGCTTTAGTCGCCCAAGTAACCATCAAGCCCGTTAATCGCCCTTTTTGCTATATAAGGCTGCTATACGACTGATATAAAGTTCGGAAACCCTATATTTACCTTATATCGCAAAAAGGGCGATTATTGGGTAGTTAGCCGGCTTGGTGGTTACTTGGGCGGTTCGGGATGTCGCTAAAATGTTGACTGGTAGGTTTATTTCGCTTAAATAGCTAGAATCGTCTGTATGCTTACAAAGTTCAGTAGAGATGAACTAGCCTAAGGCTAAAAATCTCTTAAATAAAGAATTAAAAAAAAAAAAAAAAAAAAAAGAAGACGTAAAGTCGAAAATAAATTAAAAATGTTGTCCCTGAAATAAAGGCCTTGAATTTCTATAAAAGATTGCTTAACAAATTTGGTTGACTAGTGATTGACTCTTGAACAAGGGGGGGGGGGGGTAGTAGTAGAGAAGATACTGAAAATCAAAGCAGTACACGGCCCCATTGCCAATTTATACTACGGGTACCGATAAGCTGCACGTAATACTTGACTAATAACGTGTAGGACATTAACTTTAACATTAACATTAACAATTTGCAAACGTTCTACACACTCGTCTAACTTAGGGTGACCCATGACTGAAATTCCTTCCGACTTGCTTCAGAGTTCTCTCTCACAATCACCGAAATAATCTTCAGAACTAATTTGGAATTCATCTTAGATTTGCCTTTAAATTTTATCGAAATTCATCTAAAAATACCAGAAATTTCTATTCAAACTTCATTGGTTTACCCAGAATAACTTTGGAACTATCCCTAGAATTCCTCTAGGATTATCCTCAATTTATTTGACATTCTCATCATAATGCTATGCTTGAAATTAAGTATCAGAATCGTAATAGTTTGTCTAAATTCAATGACTGTGATTTTTTTTAATTCTGATTAATACGCCATATGTGAAGTCAAAAAGCTCGCTAAGCTCAGGAATGTAAAAAACTTGCCTAACCTCAAAATCATGAAAATTTTCTAATTTTTTATTAATCCTAGGATTCAAATGTTATTTCATAAATCTCATTGTTTTCTAATTGAATTTCTAAGCTCAAATATAGGGAATAATTTACATGTAACTTAATAAATTTATTAATTCTGAAACTTATGAGAACATTTCAAATTTCAATCTTAAAAAATGTATATGTAACATAATTTGATAAATTGTAGCTATTCTTATAAACCTTATAAGTTTTCCAAAATTCTGAAAATTTATTTTAAAGAGGATTTTCTCCGGTTTTCTGTATTTAAAATAAAATGCCGTTACTTTTTTTTCCAGTGACATCAATCGCTGAAATCGATCATGCCGATATTCCTTGTCTTACCATATTTAGCTGTTTATATAAAAACGTGAAAAATATTTTGAGAACCCGGGAAAAATCGAAAAACCCGGAAATTTAATTTCTTAAATTCAGTTGGACCTCAAGAGTGGACTAGATTTTCAGGATACAGTCACTTTGAAGAACTATTATGGTGATTCCTTATATAGTCCAAAAATGGCCGTCATGATGGCTGATATGGCCTATAACTTCAAGTTTTGTAGAGCGCACATCTCGGACACTGTTGCGACACCGCTCTGCAGCAAACGTTAAGTTCCAGTTTCCTTGTTGTAAGTTCAGGAGAGCTGATATTCGTGCTCTTGAAATTGTGAGTTGCAAATGCCCATCTCGGCAAAAAAAATCTAACTGTGTAACTTAATCATTTTCAAGGATGCTTTCTCGTACTGGCTGTGTTTTTATCATATTTATATTAGATCTCATGAATTTTCTGGAGTGTTCTGCAGAGAATTTCTGGACTGTTATTAATAAATTTTCTAGAGACGCTTATTATAATACAAGGTCAAATTTACTTTAGAAGAATTCTAGTTAACCTAGTGGTATGTTTAGTTCAATTGAATTTGGTTTTATGCTTAATTTAAATGTAAAATTCCGGGAAAAACCGGAAATTTCTAATTGGTGTTTGCTGGTCACCATGTTTAATATTATCTGCATCATTTCAGATCATTTTTATTCATGATTATCTTGATGATGAACAGCAAACTCCGGAGAAGTTTTGAATTCAATAAAATTCTAAAAAAAATCAAGTCAAAGCGAAAACTTCACGACAAAGTCGAAAATTCTATGAAAATCTTAACAAAAGTCACTGCCTACTTATGGAATCCCCATTAGACCAAGAAAGTTCCTTTAACAAAAAAATAATGCCTTAGTTGTGAATATGATTTCTAGAAAACAAGAAGATTTCGAAATTTGATTTTATATAATCGATATTTACCATTTTTACCCATCCATAAAGCGAAAAGATGGAATTCTCCTCGTCGATATCCACATGTCGCATTGTTATCCTTAGAAGTGAAAAAGAGAGGCAATGAAAATGTGTTCCTTTCATCACTCTACTGCTAGGTCACTATAGATCGCTTACCCCAAATTCAGATTAGTAACATTGTAGTACTGAGTGGGTCGTACGTTACGATCGTAGTTGGCAAATAAATCCTTCTTCAACTTCTCAATCCAAGTCAACGTGGTCGAGGGCTTGTTGCTGTCGGCTGGAAGACGATAAAAAAAAATCTAGCTGCAGTGCACTGTTGCTCTCCATTTTACACTTCATTCATATCTTCTCGAGAAACTATTCTTGGATTTCCTTTGATGGGAAATACGCTGTTCGTTCTTATCAGCAGAGCAGGGTTTGTTTTCTGCCGCGGTCGCAGTTGACATGGTTTCATTCACGATCGTAAAATCGTGGAAAATATGCACTCTTTCTATGGATAAGTCACAAATTCACTTTCGATGATGTTAAATAGATGTTTGTTGGTTCTGCATATCCTCAAACTTTCAGTATACACCTTATTGCGAAGGTTTAAGTTTTACGTCTTTCGTGTCCTTTGCCACTTAAATAAACTATTCGAATTGCGTATATAAAACTTGAGTGGATGTTCACGTTGACTTACACGTTGCATTATCTGCATAACAGCATCCCACTAGGCACACTAGCAAAAAGGTCAAATGGCGACCTTTACCCATCTTGAACAAGTATTTCACTAGACACTTTCACTCTGCAAACTGTTTTCCTGAACTTTTCACCAGATTATATACACTTTCTTTACACTGTTCGTAGCAGGACTTACTTTCGAAACCGGACCGCTAACTTACCCGGGCGGGTGCCGAACGAGAACTGAACCCACCCGATCTCAGAAAGGAAGTTTTTATAATTCTATTCTACAGCAATATGTGCACAACAATTGATAAAGAGGTTCATTTGCGGGCTGATTAGGGGACCTCTAGCTGGTGTTTGTTTCGGTGCTGTTTGGCGTATGCGAGGCAGAATAAATTCCAATTGTGAATGTATGATCTGTCGGCGTAGGTCGTCGATGTGGCGTAAACGAAGATGGCAAGCATATCATAAAGCTACAGCGTACATGTAGATATAACTTTTGATGAATGAATTGTTATTTTGGCAAAAAAGGAACGTAATTGACTTTCGTTTTCAATACAGTAAGTTTTGGAATTTGTGAAGTGCGAAAGCGGCTTTCCCACATCACATAATGCCAATCGTGGCATTAGCGATTTTTGTTCGCTTTAGTGATGCTCTGATTGATCTATTGTGTGATATCAACGGCACTTGTTGCGTTACAATCAAATGTATGGTGATCTTCGTGCATTGTGTCGGATTAGAATTATAATGAGGTTTTTTTTCAATATAATTTAATTGTACGATCTAGCTAGAAAACTAGCACCACATAGGGTACATCTTGGCAACTTGAAATCTTTTTATAGCTATGACATATTCTGAGAAACAACCTTAAAATATCAAATGTGAATAGAGTCAATGAGCCAAATGTAAACAATGATTTCTCGTTGTGATTCGGGAGTAGTTGACATATAAATTCATTAGTAACACTTTGCACATTTGCCCTTTCCTAGCTTAGGTTAGCTATTCTGCGATTTCTATTTGCCCCAGTGTATCCTATCCAAATCAAATAGTTTCCTGTGCATTTATCGCATTGCCATTCCGCTCGTCTATTTTAATAGCACTTTTTTTTACTTGGAAATGTGCTGCTCAGCAAGGGTATGCGTTGAAAGACGGATTTTTTTTTTAATTTCACGAATTTTTAGAGTTTTGACTATGAAAAACAACATAGTGGAGTTTGAACATGCAGAAAATGGTTCAGATCCCTCAGTTGAATATAATATTTTCTGTTTCTGATTGTTATTCCCGGAAATCGAAAATTTCAGAACTAAATATATGATTATGAAAAAATTATAACCAAATTATGTAAAAACAACTAATTCATATGGTTAGTTATTATAGACTTTAGCCAATATTTCATTTTGTTTTACTTATTTCGGGCTTTCATATCGCATCATCTTATTGCTCAGTTATCTGGGCAACCAATCAATTTTATTATAACCCTTATATCCTCTGTAAGGTACTCTGTACGGAACTCGGAGTAAGTGAGGTAAGTAATCATGACCAATAGGGATCTCTGAATACTTAAGGTGAAAGTGACCTGAAAAATTTAAAAAATGGTTTTCTTTGAGACATCACTTCAGATTGCAAAAAGCTTTCGTCGATGTTTCCCATTTATTATTTCGCACAAAACAACAAGGACACGTGTGTGAAATTACGAAAATTTTAGGAGATTTGAAGTATGTCTTCAAATCTACATGCAAAAAAAAAGTGCGCGTTTGATTTGCTCATATACTGTCTGTGGCTGTGGAATAGCTTTAGCGACGTTTCATCACTACCTAAAGCCCCACGTTGCCGAAAGCATTTCCAGTCGATGCTGTGTTATAATGCAATTCTTCTTTACCCAACTATAGTGTTCCTCGTCTCGTCATAACCTACTTAGTCATCTTAGAGAGAAAGCAGTAGGGTGGCTGTTGTGTGATGTACCATCATCAGCATTGCTGACGGTTACTCCCACCTTGAGTTATTACAATCAAAGTGTTTTTATGTTACTTCATACGCGAAGTTTGAGATTTTCAGAGTTGGTTGGAATAGCTATCTAACAGACATACTTCAAAACTCCTCGTACATCGTACGAGTTAGGCAAAGAAGGTGCGTTTGACTTGTACTGTCGCATTAATGGCCCTTCGCTCATTTTCAACTACTATTCAATTTTCATACTGCCACACTCTAACGGAAATATCTACCTACCTTCTTCGAAGACCATTCTCTAGCTAATAAATTATCACACTAAAACTTCATATTAGATAGCATTTCCAACCAACTCTGAAAATCGCAAACTTCGCGTATGAAGTAACATAAAGGCACTATGAATATTATAATATTTTTGAGCAACATAATATAAGAGTCAACATCAAAACATAAACACAGTGGAGTGCGCAGTAGGCTCTGCCCGCAAACGGTCGGTTTTAATTTCGCTGTCACAAATTCCGTGTTTTCCGCGTGCTGTTTGGCTTGTACCAAGGAAAAAAGTAATTCGTTTTCATTATTATCATGTGAATATAGATTCATCATGATTAATTTATCGGTGTTTTAATATTGTAAATTATTGTGAAAATTCCCGGGTTAGAATTTTTTTTTTTGAATAGTTGTGTTGCTGTAGCGTCGTGCTAGTGTGTTTCGGTGCTACGCCTCCACTCAAGGAAGCAACGTTTGCCGTGTCTTTTTACGTATTTGGTATTGGCGTTCTGCCCCCTGGACAATAACCGGGAAAGATGATTTTGCAGATTAGACTACGATCCTTCCACGTCGAGGACACAATACATAAGCGGTGAGATCTAACTGATTACAACTAGATATAAAAATATGAAATGCATCCTACTAAATACGTGCCATCTACAAAGCAGGAATTGCTTTGATGATGGAAGTGTACACGCAGTACCAATATACATTTTATATCGGTACTACGTGTATGCGGGGCTTGTTGTAAGTGAAAGTAACCTCGGAATGGACGTGAGTGACCAGGCATTCTGAAATGGGTTACTGAATCTCAACAGAGCTATCGCCTTTCAACTTCCGGGCTAAAATTGTTTGCAATGAGGTCAGTATAATAATAATAGATTATATTGCAAACATTTTTCTTCCATAAAAACACTGCCGGACAGTGGAAGTTGGATTGTATATACATACATACATACATACATTTTTGAGCAACATAATATAATGACATCGGGTCCAAGACCATTGACACTCTGAAAAACAATTTCACCTTTTTGAAATGTTGGCACTGTTTTTATTGCTTATGCATATGTGTGTGTGGCAGTGGTGATAGAAGTTTTTTATTGGCTACGTACTTTTCGAAAATCTCAGATTTTCTCTAATACGCAAAAATCGGCGGATTAAATAAAGTGAAATCCGAGATTAAAATTGAGGATAATACGACATGGTGCTTAGCAAAATCGAGGATAATTCGAGATTGGTGTATTATCCTCGATGGAGCTTACCGCTATTAACCTAGTTGGATAAAAACCGTCACCGCCGATTAGCTTGATATTTATTTTTTACTGAGATCTCAGCACAATTTCTGTTTGTATCTCAGTACAATTCTCGTTTGTTAGCTGAATTTCAGCAAGACCCAACAAAATAAAATGCCAAGATTGGGGAAATGGCTCTAATGTTGGCCTATGGATCTAAGATTGGCCCCATCGCTAAAATTCTGCCATTTATCAATTTTATCTAGATCGACGCGTCATTGGGACGGTACTAATGGGTATTTTTGGTCGCTATTGAAAATTTAGTCGACTGCTGAATTTATGTATGGGCCCAAATTAGAGGCATTTAGGTCGACATTACATCCATTTCCCCTAGTCGGCTGTGCCAATCTTGGCCCAAAAATTAAGTGTGCAGAGCCATTGACCGTTCATTGGATCTATGGACTTTCCCGTTTTATCGCACTTGCAGTATACGCCATAAAAAAATGCAAAATTCTTCATGCATTTTGTATGACAATGTTTGCATTTTTTATGGTACGCTTAAACATTCGTTCCACCTTATATGTTTCTTACGACCAGGGATGTTAATAGATAACCATCGATAACGTCAGTGTTAACATCTGCAATGGTGAATTTGAATAGAGCATTTTACGAGATGTTTCTAATCAGCTGATTTTTCTATTCATGAATGAACTTTGATAGAAGGCAATTACTTAGCCACTGACAGAAGCAACATCAATATCATCAGTTTTGTCAGGCAAACTGGCTCCTGGTATCCCGTAAAATGAACTATAGCAAACGTTATCGATGGTTATCAATTAACAGCACTGTTTATTCATCTTATATAGAATTAAGATAGAAATTTAAATAGGTAATATTTACTAGTAGTGGAAAAAATTTAAATTTGGAAAATATTAATACACTACAAATTATTGAAAAAAATGCACTTCTTACAACGGACTAAGTCAACAAGCAAGTTTTTCCAGAATCTATTCATGCGGTGAAAAATTACAAATTCTGTAAATATTTTATGCTAATCTGTAATAGAATCCGGTTGGGTGCAGGATCTAAAGATATGAATAAGAATATAATTCACAAAATTCATTCCAGCAAATTCAATTCAGGCCTTATTAAACCATCAATCTTCGTACAAATACAAATCGTGATTATCTAATAAAGTTATACTTGTGCCACCAAATTCGGTGATTCGGTCTTTCGTCTTCCTCAGACAAAACTTCCACTTCGTAATGCATATCACTAAACCACGCAACGGTGGTTATCTAAAAAGATCGTCCAACATCCACAGACAGGACAAGGACGACGATATCACCTTAATTGATTTACGGCGCTTGTACTTTGTTCACTTAACGGTCCCCATAATCTAATTGAGAAATGCTGCTGTATAGCCTATCTACCCGCACCACCATCAACCGAGATTTTTATTGCATAATCATCCGCCGCCGAGATTTACCGTATGTGCAGAGTGAGTGGTGACAGTCCGCGTGTATATAGAATATGTTGCTTGCATAACCCTTTATTCAGTGAATGTTTTTGGATTGAAGGGCGCGAAGCGGGAACGGTCGTCGATTACGGTGTTTGAAAACAACACGTTCCCCCTGTTGAATCGAGTGGGGCCGGTCTGCAGCACGCGCGTTGACACCCAGGCAGATGACACTAAATTTGTCTCTAATATGCCATGGAGACGCATTGTACTCAGTGCAGTTTACATATCGACTGGATGTATAACGAGTTGACCCTCAATTTCCATTCTGCTGCTCTTGAGCTAGTTCCGCTGTGGTGTCATAGTAAACGTTTGCATATAAAGCGTGGAACGTGTTTATTTTATTGGATTCTTCTTCTATGAAAACATAACAACAACTAATTATCTAGATAATTGTCATGTTTATTTTTTCTTGTAATAATCTTACATTTACTTTACGTATAAGTAGTAGAACCATTGTTGGAACTAAATGCATACACAAATTACAAATACATTAAAACGATAACTTCAAAACAATTTACACCGTAGCATCTTTCAGGATTGCAAATGTTGACCAGTATTCAACGATCGTACGATCTAAAGGACGTTGATGCCGATGTAGTTAGCGTCACATTGGAGGAGGTAGCAGGAACAATTGTAGTCGCAGGTGCGGGAGCTTGTGTTGTTTGAGAACTTGACGGTGCCGAGTATGAAGGATAAGACGGCCAATAGGGGACCATACCGGATCTATTGGCACCAGCACCACCGCTGGGGGCAAGCGAGGTTGGCGAGGACGAAGAGGCAGTCGAAAGAGATTCAGGACTCGGAGCAATTCCAAAGCTCCGAGGGCTACCTTCGGTTGGATTTGATGCTGGGCTTCCGCCGTACGATTCCACCGGGGACGAGTATCTGCTGTAGTTGGGTGAGATCATACCACTCGTGCTCGGATCGGCGAGCTGTGCTTGAGCTTGGCACGCGATCATCAGTCCATGAAAGTCAAATTTATATGCGTACCGTTTGCCATGGACTTTGGTCATAATGTTTTTATCGTAGTAGTACCTGCGGAAGGAAAAGACAAAAGGAGAATGAATATAAAACCGCAAGTCACCCAGATTCCCACGTTTCGGCATAATCAGGAGGCTCGACTACCACCGCGGGCAAAATGTGTAGCATAACAGCGCGATGATTCACCTTTCTTTCGCATTCCTAACATATTTGCAGCTTCCGCTTGGAGAGCAGCCACGACGGCTTATTTTGCTGTTTGGACGCGAGGCTACTCTCTGCGCTCGATATCTGTTATGCGCGAAGCGAAACGTGGTCATAAGAGAAGAAAAGGCCATGAAAGGGAAGGAACAAGATTTTTTATGGTCATCAACGGTCATGTAGCATAATGACGTGTCAGAAACATTATGCGGAGAATGCGGATTCAGCATTAGGTTCAATGGAAAACATAGTTAAATGATTGATCAATCGCGATAAGTGACGCATGGGAAGGATCCGTTTCGTCATCATCGTAAAGCATAGCTTTTATATAAAAAAAAATCAATTCATTTGGTGAATACGAGTATATTACATGTTAACTTAATCTTTTCAGGCAGGTACAGTAGCATAATAACGAAAAATTAGCTTTCAAATGAAGATTCAAAATGTTACTCTGTGTGCCATGCTGATTTTTCTCTGTTTGAAAAAAACCAAGCCAAAAATTAAATCACAGGAAAAGATCTAAAATTAAAACAGCTGACTTAATCATTTGGTTTGAATAGGTTGAACCATTTCCATTCAATTCCCCTTAGTATTTTCAATCCATGACAGTAACGTATTTCGAGTACAGTGTGCAGTAATCATCATTGTCATTGCTCATTTCTTTGTATTTTTGAGTATTCCACTAACAATCCATTTTATATTTTTATATATAGGTCACTTTAACACTCTTGAGTCATCCGTGACTTGTCCGGAAATGAGAATTGAACTCGTGACTTTGGCGTGAGAGCTATGGATGTTAACCTCTACCCCTTGGCCGTCCCCATATAAATATCGGGGCTTATTACGGATCCTCCTACGGATGTACCTTCACGGTGAAAACTTGTCACTTGTCGTCACGGTGAAGTGATTCCCATTTGATTTGTACGACAATCACGGTTCTTATTATGAGTATCACTTCCTTATCACCGTGTAGTGACACCCGTAATAAGGCCCATCATTACCTTTACTCTATTTAATAGCTAAATGCTTGTACCTTTCATTTGACGTATACACAGTAGATGGATGCAAATTTTGACAATTTTGCTCCACAGTGCACAAACGGATTCAAATTGGATCCTAATCATTCTCACAACTATTTAACACAACCATTTAACTCATTTGGTTGAATACTATTTTTGCACAAACCATTTGTGAATATATTTTTTTATCAAGATTATCAAGGGTATCAAATTGCTCGGATTGAATGATAGATGATAGCTGCACTTATACAAAATTTCAGCTACAAATTTGCTGAAAATTATCTTTTGATTGAAGGTAAGGAGAATGAGCTACTAGTTGTATAAGAAGCTGGTAATCATAATACAAGCTTAATCAACTGTTCAACAGTCAACAATGTACAGTTTGGTGCCGTTACAAATATTAAACAAAATCATGCCAACTCCTCCCTCCTCCACCCTTCAAACTTGTCACGAAATATCAAGGGACACACAAAGCATTTATTTTCAAACTAATGTTCTGCAAAAATTACCTCGCCAAAACCAAAAATATTCCTAAGTCACCTACAAAAACTGTGAAATAGGCACAAAAGGGCAGCCAAAGAAAACGGCCTAATACCTATTCCCTATTCTATTCCCGACCTATCAGAAAGTAAGCGAAAAAGGAGGAAGTAAGTTTCGGAGCAGTCCAAACCGCCATCGGTGAAGAAGTTACCTTCGAGGACACATCAAAATCTGGCCGTAAACCGGGACTGGTGGAGCGAATAGTGGATCAGAAGATCACCAAGCTTTTGTCAATAAGAAAATTGCCTCTGTTCGAGATTTGGCCAAAAAATTGGGAACATCGAAGAGTAACGTCCAACGTACCAAGGCAAGAAACGGGCTGAAAACGTTCTAGAAACAGAAGAAGCCGAAACGGAGCCAGAAACAAGCCGCATCCATCTAACCGAAAACTCGGAAGCTATATAATAGCTTTTTGCGTGGAAAATTGGCGTCTGTTATCATGGACGATGAAACATACGTCATATTTGATTAAAAGACGCTTCTGGGAGCCCAATATCGTGATGGTCAGAAAGTTTACGATGCCGATAAGTCAATTTTTACTGAAAAATTTGGAAAGAAGGCCATGGTTTGGCAAGCGATATGTGAGTGTGGCAAATTGTCAAAGCCACGTAGGAGATGATGAACACTGAAATTTACGTTCGGGAGTGTTTGAATCAATGCACTACTCGAAAGACACGGTAGCTTGGTACAAAGCAAAAAATGTGCAATACATGTAAACAGAAATGAATCCTCAGAGGCCTCGGAGGCCCGCCCTAATAAACGGGTACCATATACTAACGATATCATAGATGGTACGACCATATCACATAAAGTTAGGATGTTATCCCGAATTGGTGATTAGGCGCTTCTTATGGTTATTGTTTATGCGGGCGGTCAATCGATACTTTTTATGCCCTTTCCAATATCAACGGAAACACTTTAAGGCAGCGAATTCAATGGACAATTTGAAAAAGACATGACAAAAGTGGCCAAAATTATCACCAAGAAATCAGTGCTGAAGCTCATGGGTAGCGTCTGATCAAAAGTTCGCTCCTTGGCAATAAATTAAAGGAACTGCGAATTATTTTCATTCAATTGAAAGAGAATATATACCTATGAAATAAAAATTTGAGTTCATTAACATAACGTTGTTGTGATATAACACTAGAAACGCGGATGAAGTAAGAACACCACATCTTTTGAATAATGCTTCACAAAATTCATTATTTTCAAAGGTATAAATGTTTTCAATTCGATGCCTAGACACATCAAGCGTGCAACTACACTTACAGAATTCAAGAGACGCTGCATTTCACATGTAAAAGCTGTTTATTGAGCAGTTAAATTTTTATGAATGGATAAATCAAACAAAGTTATCTCTAACGGATTATTTTGTATGGAGACTGTCATAAAGACATTTTAGTAATTTCTGTAGCATATACAAAAAACTACATTGTTTGCCTCGATGGTGATGATGGATTTTTAGTTTTTTTGATTTTGTAGTAGTAATAGTAAAAATAGCTTTGAGTAGTCTACAATGGTTTGAGCCTCGCGCGCGGAATACAGGTATAAATGACTAATACGTGGAAATTGTGGCAAAAGCCTTGAATTAGTAAAGGGTTGGCTGGAAGTCGTTTCCTTGGATATAGTCCTGGCACTGTGGAAGCTTAAACGTGTAAATCCCAAGTCACGTGTAAATGGAAGTATTGTCGAGGACTATACTTGGACTTTTGATAACTAGTTACACCTTTGAATGTTTTTGGTTGATGCCTATAACATATTTAACAGGACATTTATATCTGTAATTGTAACCAGCTCGATTTTGTTTGCAAACCTGGTTAAAATGTTTATATTTAATTATCTTAAAGATAACTCGTCCAGCTCAAACCTTTGTAGGGGTAAGAGGTGGGACCGGTCTCTGTTCCGCAATCTAGTGCCAATCACCGACGGACATCTATTGCCATCCATTGACGGCAATCGAATGTGCAGGAAGGCAGCTTCCACACCTGCGTAGGATATCGCACCCATTCAACACACATGGGCCGGGACCAACGGCTTTACTTCCCTTCCGAAGGAAGACGTGACCAGAGATTTTTATGCCTCAGAAAAATCCCACCAACCTCGGCTGGGATTGAACCCAGACCCATCGGGGTGTTAGAAAGCAGTCACGCTTACCACTACACCACCAGCGCCGGCTAAATTTAAGTTATTTCATGTAAATTTAAGAGTAATATCGCATAAATCTAGAATATTGTATACAAGCTTGATAACAATTTCAATGTTTATGTCAACTATAGCTTAAAATTAAACATGAGGAGATTTTACGCGATAGTTAAAAGTTAGAACTTTTTTTTCTGTATAGCGCCATCTGAACGGGCGATTTTGAACAAAAATAATTAGGCCAAAAGCGAAGACAGACAGATACAGTAGCGCTGCGCTTGAGTGAAGGGTGAAGCAACGCATAGAAAAATGAGCAAATGCACAAACCCTTCATCTGAGGATGTAATCTTTGCTATCAAATTCGTTCGAAGCATTTACCTTTGAGCGGCAGATGACGCGATTGTACCTGTCTCATAACATTCGTATGAGAAAATGGAAGAGTTGCCTGTCTTCTTGAGAAAGTCCTTATTCACCCGAATAAATTTCCGAAAACACCTACGATTTTTGTCCAACAAAGTAGACTCTGCCCAGTGTGTGATGTCGTACACAACCATGGAAACATTCATTCAATTGCGGCAGCATCACAAAACAAAACGATCATCTTTATAGCGAATTCGTTTATTATCGGGGTTAACACCAGTTCCAACCCAGTGCGAAACCGAACTTTTTGTCCGTGTGAACCTCAACCTAAGCTACACACTGATATAGTCAGTACGGTTTTACTGTGTTTTTGAATTGCGGAACTGTTCGGTAAAAGTTTAAAAATCTGTGGAAAATTTATTAATAAGAAAATTTGTTCTGAACATGTACATACTTAGTTATGTTAACCCCATTTAATGATAGAAAATAAAATTGGTCGATATCATTGACTCCTTACGGATAACGGTCATTTGAAATTTTACCGACTTTTTCAGCAATTCAAAAACCCAGTAAAAAAATACTGACTCCTGTAAAAAAAATCTTAGTGTGTAGGTTTTAAAATCAAATGAGCAAACTGACGTTTGTCAGAAAACAAGCAGACCCAATCTTGATGCCCGATCCAGGTTGGAACTGAATAATAAACGAATTAGCTATTAGTTGTTAACAGATTGCTGAAAGAGTTTAAATCTTCCAAGCAAGTAACTCGACTAGATCTAATAGCAGTATAACAAAACAAACGAGAAACTGAAAGAATTAAAACAAAAATCTCTATCGAGTTCTGCGTTTAACAATTTAACGTTTAAAATTCGGCGTAATGACACACTGCATAAAACACGTCCTTCCTATTAAAAAAAAATCAATCAAATAGAAAATGAGAAAAAGATAAACGAGGAACATTTGTTACCGTTGTTGCCCTGTATCCGGGTGCGTAGCTACTGATAAACCGTATAGTAAAATGTAAATCAACAGTTTTAACCCGTTCTACTGTGTTGACTCGTCGTGATTTCCAACGCGAGATAATATTTGCGGACAAATATGTGTTTGGCCAAACGTCGTTGCTCAGTTATTAGTCATCAACACAAGTATTTAAATAAGGGTGACATAAAATATCATATTATAATGATAAAAAATAACACAAATGAATAACGTAATCTTTATTTTAATTTCAATACGATAGTTCGATTTTGTAGATGTGAAAGTTCATGAAAAAGACGTTGTCTATCAATGGTTACAATGCTTTGTACTCATGAACAGTAAATCGCTAAGAGCAATAATTTAAACAGGATATACAATTTATACTAAAGGACGTGCTTAAATCACGTAACCTAAATATGTGACATTATTTATAGCGACGGATGCCTTATTTTTGGAATGCACTGGATTTTATATCCCTACTATTTTGCAGCAGCTTAACTTTAGGATCTTAAATATTGATTAATCGTCTAAACCTGTTTTGGCAACATTCTTTAATTTATGACCATTATGCCAGTGATTTCATCGATCTATTAGTCGTAGTACGCTCTGCCCCACCGTGCGTTCGGTAGATTGGGTTTATAGCATAAAAAAACCACTCACCTCAAAGCCCGACTCAGTTTGTCGTAGTTCATGTTTGGTTTCGCCTTCCGTTCACCCCACCGCCGTGCCACCTCATCCGGGTCGGTTAGCTTGAACTCGCCATTCGTTCCCTCCCAATGGATGAAGCGCTCGTTCGACGAATCAGCGAGCAGTTCGAGCAAAAACTGCCACAGTTGGATCTGCCCACCTATATTGACGTAGCGGATGAAGAAGCAAGCGAACATAACATTAAGGCAATGGTTGAACAAGGGGAAGTTTGCGATAGCAGCATGCAAAGATTAAGTCTGTGTGTGTTTGTGAAGACAGATCAAAGGCAAGGGTAAGCAAAGTAAGTGTGGCTTTTCGGAATATGGGTTGTACATGGGTTGTATTATAAGGGGCTGTTCATATACTACGTAGACAGTTTTTTGGGATTATTGACCCCCCCCCCCTCCCCATGCGTAGACAATTGTCCATACAATTTTTTTTAAATTTGTATGGGCCGTGTATTATTCCCCCCTAAACTGTCTACAGCCCCTAACCGACTGATTGATCGATTGGAAGATAACTTAAATAGAACAACAGTATCCCCCCGATATCCGACGACTCGATAATCCTGACCCCGTTAATCTGGAAAATGGCGGATAATATGTATAAACACGCGTATGAATGCACTGTGCTGTCAATTTTCAGATTTGTGCTGTTTTGTTTGTTTTGAATTTTTTAGTATGGTCAAGTATTAGCAAGTCAAACCCCGATAGTCAGGCCAATATTTTGTCGGATGAGCGGAGGGATACTGTACTTGGGCATTCAGAAAACTTCACACTTAAAAAAAATTCATGTAAATTTAGGTGCTCTGAGACTGACATATACGAGCGTCATTTTTGATAATAATAGACGTAATAGATGCAAAACTCAGCTCAATCAAACGTACTTTTCGTCGAGTACCGAACTTTTCAGTCTCGGAGCACTTAATTTTACATGGCATGTTTGTTTACGTCTTATCCTTTATGTCAAAGATGGATTCTGTCACATGTAAAATTAGGTATTTCTAAGTGTGTACATAATAATCATAATTCATAACAATACACACCTTGTGCAATTAATCGATGAGATGCAGCGTTCAACAGTTGATAGGGTTCTGAAAAATAAGATAAGACGGCATTAGGAACTTTTATCTTGAATTATAAATCCTGAATGTTCTTGATATCTAAGCCGTATTGCTCGACGTGAGTGATAGATACAATTGGATAGAAATGTAGAGATTTGATAACGGCTTCTTTCACACTTTTTTTGTAACTATCCAGTACTCTTCGAAGGGTATAAAGACGATAAGTATCACATTCATTGGTCTTGATGGCTGTTTGAAAACGAAAATATCTTCTTTATTTTATTTTTCCATTGTAATTAGATAATATGACATGCACTAATTATAGGACACTTACATACTTCACTCAACTACGGGTGATAAATACTCAAGGGGTACTACATATAGATGCATTATATTAAATATTGAATTTCTTGTAATAATATTTGCTGAAAATGTATACGATAGGTAGATTTTGGCTTTGTATCAGTGACAATCAGTTTTATTAAAAACGCCTAAAATTTTAAAAATAAAAGCGTTTTAAACTTATCTCCCATAACACGCCGTGTAAAATTTTGAAATCCGCATCATTATGACGTTTCAAATCTTTCATGGTTCATTAAGATTGCTTATTTTGTACCAGAGAATCAAAACACAGAGAGCAAGCAACAATATAGACAAATCTCTTGGGACGATTGTCATGACAAACTCTCTATGGATAATAGCTTGATTAAACGGTGCAACACACAGTGGCTGATAGGGGAAAGTGGGGCAAGATCGCCACCCTAACAAAACTCGAGTTCGACAAATTTTGATCAAAAAGTAATTATTTCTATATTGCCCCGTAACGTGGGTACCCAGACAACCATAAGTCGTATAACCATGTACAGACAGTATCGTAAATTGCTACAGTTTAAGTCAAAAATGCATATAAGAATAGCATACCTCGCATTATGTTTGTGTTGAATCCTATAGAATGAAAATTTCCAACTTATATGCGATGACTACTTTTCCGTCGTACTGCATCACTAATTTAATTGGATTACATCGTAAGACTTTTGAAAATGAATTTGTTATTACAGATTAAATCGTATATGATGTTAAATCAAGTCGTTAAAAATTAAATTAAAATATGCACGTATATGGCCTCCACTTTTGTACGTTTAAGCAATTTCTTTGCATTTTATACGAATTGTTTGTTTGTATATATTTTTATATATCACGAAAACAACTTTGAATATACGTGCATTCTGGTTGTCTGGGTAGTTCACCTTTTCGTGGTACGGTACGGGGGGTGTACGATCTACAACCGATTCCTAGTCTTGACTACTTCAAAGCAGGGGAACAGGATTTTTAAGTTATCAAAGGAACACATATTAGTCCTTGTTACTTGTTATGCCTTGTTGATAGTTGCAAAAATAGTTAGTTAGTCTTCATCTATGTGATTCCTAATCTTCTATTCGTTGTTCCCTAGATTGAAGTGGTCAAGACTAGGGTTCTGATGCATGGTCATTATCGGTGTCATTGCTTATTTTTGTTGCTAAGGAATCCAATTTTGACTGACAAAGGGGCGCGCCTTTGTTTCAACACTCCGAATGGTATAAATAGCGGGACCTTTCCATTAGAGTTCGATCCTTACGATAAATGCAAGAATTACAACTGCAAAAAAATCGAATACTTCATCATTTCTCAATAGTGATGGCGTAATTTCTGACAGTAACGGAGTAGCGGACGCGGGCGGTCAATCATGCTCATACTCATATGCCATGCAGCTTCTACCAAAGCCCTGACAGGTTCGTGTTGATGTCAAGCAGACCGTCTACAATTATAATTATCACGTAAGGAGGAAGGAGATACCTGCGATGGGTTGGAGAAAGTCTACAAGGAGGCCTGTTGCTGTTGGTGCAGCTCCACTTGGTTATTTGGGTGAGATCATTCCTTTTTATTTATTGTTACAGTAACTTCTCCATATCTCCATATTAGGACATCAATTCAGCTTATCGTTTACCAAAACGAACACTTCTGCAAACCCTACCCTCTTACCCAGCATCCCAGTGATTCCTCGTGGAAGTGCAGAGGATTTCTCGGCTTCCATCAAAGCGAGTGTCACGTCAACACATTCCTACCCATTCCTTTCTTGACCTGCGTTTGGGTGCGACCGGCGCTGGTATTGCCCAGTTTGAGATCACCAGTTTTTACACATCGATGATGATTGCTAGTCTCAAGCATCGTCTGTTGGTTCTCTGTGTAATTACAGCTGATCTGGCCATAACAGAGTAGCAACCGTGGGTGGTCATTCGTGCTCATGCTCATGAGCAGACTAGAGAAAAATAAGTATCAGGAATGCACTCTCGGATATATTGATTTGGTGAGTACGTTCCAGTTGAAGATTGTTCTTATACATTTCTCGATTGCATTTTCGAGGGGACGTGTCTGCTTTTGTGGACGGTGCGTTTGATGGTCGGTTTGGTGTGGCTGGTAGCTCGCCCACGCGGTAGGGGAAAATTTCCTCTATCTGATGGTGGTGTTGACGTGCGTGGGCGGGATGCCGGTTGCGCCGGATTGAGGATCGGATGCATTGTTTGCGGGAACGGATACGTCCTTTCGTGGGAGTAATAGAGATTTATTTTCATCGTTCCCATTTGTCAGAGGGATGACCTCGATCGCATGAAGCATATTCCTTGAGTTTTTACGGTTAGGTGTCTACGAATAATCCATTACGATTTATTTTTTCAAGTTAAAGCATGATTCGTTAGGAAAATAAATGTCGCGATCGAACATGCAAGCTTGGCACTTGACCGTTTAGTTTTTGTTGTGTTGTTAAGTGTGTCCTTAACATGATGATGAGGGCCGTAGTTGAAGACTGACGGTAGTCTCGGCGGGTCGTGGTGGGTTTGGTTGTTTTGACGACGAAATATGAAAGAAAAAATAGTCGTTTTACAACGCAATAGAGTTCGGTCAAGATAGCTTAAAAGATGTACAATGTCCCAAGTAACCAAAAGTTCCGCATTCAACGATTAAAATCACTTCCAAGCTGCATAAAGCTCAAATAAAGTTCCGACAGAACTTTCAAACCACATGAAGCAATCCGCACAAGTCTTTATTAGTAACAAAATTTAATGTACGTAAATATGAAATGATCAGTGGCCCGAATAAATCATAATTCTTATATTTATGCAGTGCATCAACATTCTATCCAAACACAAAAAATAAATAAAGGGTAATATCCTAGATTCGAACCCGTGTATTTGGCATGCGATCTACGATTGCTAACCACTGCGCCACAAATGTGTTGGAATACCATGCCGGCAAACACCAATTTAAAATTCATCAAGGTGTTGTGTTTCGTATTCAAGTCAGTCAGTTGGCACTGAAAACTCCAACAGTAGGCGGGACAACAGCTCACTTTAAATATCTCAGATGACGTAGCGGTTTGTGCTGGGCTGGGGCTCTCACGCAGAAGGACTGGGTTTAATTCTTCAAACAGCTCCAATCCTACTACTAATGCTGATAGATCACATACACATTAATACCTGCCTTTAGAAATAACTTTGATAAAAGTGTGAACTTAATATAGAATTGATGTAGAGGACAAAAACCTTTTTTAAATTATTTTCTAAAAGTTCCGTTCAAGTTCCGCCAGGAGCTGCTTATAATGCTCTACAATTATGGTACCGGAACTTTCAAGTTCTTATAACGACCTAAAAATGAGGCTGCTTAGAGTTCTATAGACCACCTTCAACCAAGCTGCTTAAGCCACAAATAGCCTTTTATCAGAACTTTTGGTTACTTGGGGTGTGTACGGTGGTAAAATCGGCAAGCGTGAAGAAAGGGGCACGGTAGCCCAAAAATGTGAAAGTTTTATGGATTCTGTTCCCGTCTTACGTAAAGACCAAATCGAAACAACGAACGTCGCGTAAAAGTAGAATTTAATGAAAGCATAAGCGCTTTTTCGTAGCTTTTGTGTCTCTAGGTTTAAAAGATCATCGGTAGTAGAGGCTTATCCTTGTGTAAAGGGCACCACCGTGGAGTTTGAGTTTGAATAAATCACAGGTCCTATTATATTATTATATATTCAATGATAAATATTTAAAACAGGATCAAAACACAACTGGAAGAAGCAACGTAACATCATTTGATTTTCTCTAGTGTATGTTTAACGTTTATATGACGAACATATGGATTGGTACGTGGTACATCTTTACTACGGTGGAAGTGATTCGTATATTTTTTTTTCTTTCTTTTCCGGCTTTGGTTCAAATAGCTAAATCTATTGATCTAGACTGAACATTTTCAGCCCAGCGATAATAGAATAGCGTAGGATCCACATTGTAAAGATTCCCTATTTTCAGCTATTCTACAGGCTGGAGCTGTTGTTTGAACCCTTTAGTTAATTTATCTGTATAACAATTATTCACAAGCATTCTTCCAGGTGAATTCAAGAATAGTTTGATGATGATAAATGTTCCTAATATTATTACAGTTATGACCCGATCCTGTCAGCCTCTTCGCGCATCAGACTGTTATTTTTCAATAACTCCAAATAATTATAATTTCATATCTTCCTCCTTCAAGATGGATGTTTAAGATACACATACTTTGCTAGCTGACAAAATGGGGTCCTTGCTGTATAATTATTCTCTTTTTTCTCTGAAGGATCTATTGATTAAAATTATTCAAGTTTTCTTCCAGCTTTTCGATAACGGAACATTATTAGATTTATACTGTGTTGATTCACTCTTACAGCTTTCACCCTGGTTTTGTCTGTTGATTTGATTTGTTTGCATCGGTTTTCAGCTCTTTGGTGTTGGCAGTAGCGGGCGGTCAATTTTGCTCATGCTTATGCTGTAAGTTTATGTTCAGCTTTTCGATTATGGGAACGTCTTCAGATTTATATTATAATGATCCACCATGTTGTTTAGGCTTCAGGCAAATCCAAGTATAATGCATGATAACACTGATTCATTTAAAACATGGTCGCATCACTTATCCAGGTGAATCCTGATCCAACGAACCCAACTTACTAACTAAATCTCCTTTCCTGTGTCTTTTGT